CTGAAGTTTCACTGTTTTTCCCACCGCAAATATCTGTTCCAGGGGAAGAGAGTACAATTAATATTCCATATAATTAATTCAAAGTTCAGAGGTAAAAAAATCATGTGAACAACAGTTGCTTCTCAACTGACAAATTAGTGCAGTTATTTGACCCTGACAACAGAGAGTGACTTGGGAATATTTGTCATTGTCTTAGACTCTTAGTCACCTGGTTTTTACCTGCAAGAGCCTCTCAATAGGAAGGCCTGCAGGCATCACCTCAAGCAAAATGTCCCCTCAACCTGGACTGCTTCCCCTCACCGCCACGAAGCCGTGCAAATCAGGTTCAACTATGTGGCCTTTGCGGCAGAAATTTACACTCCATTGTGCAAATTTTCATTTAAATAAATGTATGGTGATTTACTCAAACTGTCTGGAGGGTAGCTACCTAGAGAACCAATATTTATTTACACCAGCCCCTTCCACATCATACGTAGCACAGACAGAAATTAATACTTCGTTATAAAGAACTCAAGCATTCACTTGTTTACCAGAGCCTACTTGTTTTCTTCAGAGCAAGTTGAAGAACTGGATATATGCAGATATATAAAGTTATCACCACAAATACATACATGCTGCAACCACCACAAAGCATAAGTAAACTACCACTCTGTCCTGAAACAACATTTCTTTTTCCTCTAAACTGCTCCTTGACAACTGAGAACAACATCAATATAGCTGGTTGCTTTCTGTTTTACTTACAGGCTATGATTTTTAAGTTATTTTCCAACCACTGTGACAATTCTGAACAAACCCTTTCACGATACTAACGACATTTTAAGACTTAGTGTTAAAATCAGTGTTCTTCATTTCCCAATTTTATGGGAAAGTCCACTAGCTTCCCTATATGTAAAAGTCACATATCTGTCCTTTTAAGACACAGAACTATTTCTTTACTTAAAAAAGCAGAAAAAAATAAAATAAAATTCCAAATTACTGTATTTTTCTGTGTATAAGACTATATTTCCCCCCCCCCCCAATTTTTTAAGTTTAAAATTGGAGGTTGTCTTATACATGGAACGTTGCAATTATTTATTTCTTAATTTGGAGCTCAAAAAACAGGGGTTGTCTTATACATGGGGGCGTCTTATACATGGAAAAATAAGGTATATTTCTTAGGGTTTCCGTATTTCAAAAAGTAAAAATGTGACTATAATCTTTGAAGACCCTCTTTTAGCAAAACACCTGTCAATGTGATTGACAATTACATCTCGGTGAAGACAAAAGCATTGATTGTCAAGGGTATACACTGACCGCACAACAAAATTGTGGTGGTGGTTACTTTTTCTCAAAAGAGAGAATAGCAGCCATGGACTTATCTGGGGAATATAAGGAATATACTCTGGAGCAAACAGCACTAGGCTAGCAGGAGAAACATGTTATCTGTCCCTGGAGATATCAGTGGATTGTCTCCAATGTTAATCCTACTCCAAGTGGACCCATTTAAATTAAAAGGTCCATTACAATGAGTCTACTCTGACTAGAACTTAGTTGGCTACAACCCAAACCCACAGTCTTCAAGGGAGGAGGCTGTGCCACTTTTAGTTTTGATGGTTGAAATCCATTTACTTTGCGTGTGAAGACCGCCAAGACCTCCCAAAGAAAGACACAGTTGATACCAATATTAGTTAAAGGCAGGCACCCCCAAACTCGGCCCTCCAGATGTTTTGGGACTACAACTCCCATCATCCCTAGCTAACTGGGCCAGTGGTCAGGGGCGATGGGAATTGTAGTTCCAAAACATCTGGAGGGTTGAGTTTGGGGATGCCTGGTTTAAGGTTATTGGCCTAATTTGGGCCACAACTTTATTGATTACAGAATGTGAGTGGTTTCCTTAGGCATTGGTTCGATTTGCAGGGCAGCACTGACAACAGCAGAAGTCAGTAAGAGTAAACATACTGGGAGAGCATTGGTCCTACCACAGACGCAACCTCACCCCAAAATGCTCCCAGGGGCTCTTGCGTGGCCCTAACCCCTGGAAGGGGATCGGACAAAAGCATGGCGACCACCTGGATTCCTCTAACGGAATACCCTATCGCACACTGAGAGGGGCAGGTGTGACAACCTCCCCTCCACCACACCTTGAACCAATGCCTAACTGCCAAACCTTACAAAGTTGTGATGATTTGCTACGTGGCAGACGATACCCAAGTGGCACCAGCCAATCAGCTGAATGGGAAAATTCCTACCGGGCCCCTGCCCTGAAAGCAGACGACCCACAATGGCATAGGAAGGTCATGGCAAGACCCTAAATAGAGGGAGGGTGGGCGGGTGATCCGACGCACGAGGCGCTAAGAGGAAGTTTGATGCAACGTGCAGCGGTATAAATAGGCCCCCCCGGCTGCAAATTCTCTCAACCCATTGGCCAGAACTACCCCAGCAACCGAGGGACCCAATCAGGTTGTTGTGGCTATCCAATCGCTCCCACCCACACACTGAGGTCGGTTTTAGTGATCTCACCGTAACACGTGCCCTCTGTGAAGAGGACACGATTTCTCTCACAGAATTTAAGGGGAGCCCTGAAAATGAAGCCCAAACTTTCTGCATACATAGCCTAAGACTGGGTTCCATTTCTTAGTGATGCTATAATCCAGAAGCTGTTGGGGTTTTTTTTACTTACACGGTAATGCATTGTTTCCACGTGTAATGGAACACCCACTAACTATTTATTCAGCTCTTAAAACACTCAAGATGCAACCAAAGATAAAATGGGCTCTTTATCAAGGGTACATGTCTGTAAAAATATCATTCTTTTAGTCTTTAAAAGTTCTGTAGTGGATTAAGAGCACGGATCTTTCTTGGTCTCAATGCCGTAACAAATATCTGTAGTATCAAATCTCAGTATACAAAGTGCTTATTGTACAAGTGTTAATACACAATAGACTAGTGTTGATGCACTAAAAGGTACCCCTGACCGTTAGGTCCAGTCGCCGACGACTCTGGGGTTGCGGCACTCATCTCGCTCTATAGGCCAAGGGAGCCGGCGTTTGTCCGCAGACAGTTTTCTGGGTCATGTGGCCAGCATGACTAAGCCGCTTCTGGCAAACCAGAGCAGCGCATGGAAACGCCGTTTACCTTCCCACCAGAGCGGTATCTATTGATCTACTTGCACTTTGACGTGCTTTTGAACTGCTAGGTTGGCAGGAGCTGGGACCGAACAATGGAACTCACCCCATCGCAGGGATTTGAACCGCCGACCTTCTGATCGGCAAGCCCTAGGCTCAGTGATTTAGACCATAGCGCCACCCGCATCCTTGCTGATGCACTACACCTATTTAATTTCAGCACATGAAATCAGTGGGATCTACAAGTGCCGCAATGGCCGGATTGCCAAACATCAACAGAACGCACCAACAGTGAAGTGGGGCCCTGGATCTGCCGTGGCAACACTGGCGCAAGTCCTGTTTGCCTAACTGGGCAGCTGCAACATTGTGGCCTCATGGGTGCACCAGGAAAGAACCCACCTTTCCCCAACCTCACTGCTGCCCCACATCAATCCCATCCAAGTAAGTAGCAGTGTCAGGAGGGCAGCTCTGACCCACTGGACACACCATGACCAGACCCTGCTCGGCATTTTTGGCAATTCATTGGTTGCAATTTTAATATATAGTTCTGTCTTAGCCATTTGCCCCAACCAAGTCTGAATGCACACCAACACACACAAGCCTTTTGACATAACTAGTTGACAGACCTGTCAACCATCTTTTGCCTATATAAAAATGATGCATATACAGCTATAAAGAGTGATGGACCTTCGCAGTGCAACTATAAATATTAACAACTGAAATCAATATTAATTCTAACTTTTTATCTCCTATGACATACAATATAAACTCTTGTCTTCAAGGTCTAGTTTAAATGAAAGAATATTTCTGTATTTTATCACTCACCAATACATTAAAGGGATATGTTAAATGTTAAACTGGCCACTGCCTCTTAGACAAAATAGAAGGCAACAGCCATACCCGAACAAATTTTATCTAGATATCTAAGAAGAGAGAATGTACATAGGGTGAAGATTTTGTGCAGGTTTCAGGAAGCGGCTTGACATTTACGTCCAGTTGAAAAGCAAAAAGTATATAAAAGATTCAGCTATCTGCTGGCAACGGTGGAATGAATCCATGGAATGAGGGGAAAACCATGCTTTGTGAGAATTTTAAAATAAAGTGTCAAACTGCAAACAATGGGGACATTCTATTTCAAATACCGCATTTTTCGCATGTAGTTTTTAGAGGAGGAAAGCAAGAAAAAAAATATTCTAAACGAAACAGTGGGTGCGTGATTTTTTTGGTGCAAACTGTAGCCATGGACATGCTATGTGATCTGATGGTGAATTTGGGGTGACCCAATGCAAAAATCCTGAGGATCCATGTGGATCTGTGCTTTGTAACCACGTTTTAAGTGGGGAGGGAAGGAAAAGCACTCAAGGGACAAGGAGCACGCGTGGAGCAGGCTCTGCTTCTCTCCCTCCTCCCCCCCCCCCCCCAGCGAGCTGAAAAACTTTGCTGGAGGGACAGAGAGCCTGCTTGCTTTAAAGGGACAGAGAGCCTGCTTGCTTTAAAGGTTCTGCTTCTCTCCCTCCTCACCCCCCCCCCCCCGTGTAAGCGGCTCCTCTCCCGCTTTGCTCCTTTAAAGCAAGCAGGCTCTGCTTCTCTCCCTCCTCCCCCCCCCCAGCGAGCTGAAAATCTTTTCTGCTATTTCCAGCAAAGTGGGAGAAGAGCCGCTGAGTGGGGAGGAGAGAGATACAGAGCCTGCTTGCTTTAAAGGAACCAACTGGATAGGAGCCGCTTACACTCGTGTAAGCGGCTCCTCTCCCCTCCCTCTTTGCTCCTTTAAAGAAGCAGGCACTCTGTCCCTCTCTCCTCCCCATTCAGCGGCTCTTCTCCCACTGGAAACCACGGAGGAGGCAAGCATTCGCTCCGTAACACGCACAGACATTTCCCCTTACTTTCAAGGAGGAAAAAAAACGCGTGTTATGGAGCGAAAACTACGGTACTGTATTGAACATTCATTTTTTTAAAAAAAAAAATTAAATACCTTTCTGTATTCAATGCCCATGCATTCTTTGCTTCCCTAAAATTGTATATTGATGTTCCATCCAGAAGGCATGGGGGTTATTATAACCAAATTGTCATGACCAGATTGATCATAACTAAACCTTTCCTCTCTATGTGGTGTTTCTATGTAACCCTTTCAGATACTGTTGAAAATTTGCGTTTCACTTTTGCTCAGAATCAAAAGAAGGCATTGTACATTTTAAAGGCAATAGATGCAACATTTTGAGCAAATAATGTTACAACAGATTAGTTCTAAATCAGAATGTCCTTATAGGCAGCAATACTATCTGACAATTGGTACAGATGTTGAGGAAACAATGCACATCAGTTTCTGCTCCATAAAGCTTCATCAATACATCAGACATTTCACTTTGCAAACCATCTTTCTTTCCATAACTCTCTTTTACTATGCATGTGTCTACAATGTCCTCCTAACTCTACGTCCTTAAGGGTAATATTTAGTATTGGCGATAGTCACCCTGTTTCACAAGATTTCATCTTTGGTATGTGATAGTTAGCCAAGGTTTTATATAATTTTCATCTAGGCTTTACAGACTTCCTTCCTATTCAGGTGGTAATTAATTCACTTCATTAGCAAAGACTGCTCTCCCTCTGTATCCATCACATGACACTGACGCTGCTTCCCATAGTTAAAGTGAATAAAGAAAGCCTTTTCATGTGTTAGTCTGTGTGGACATCAAAGTTCCCACAGAGATCTTTGGAGCAGAGCCAATATAAAAAGCCTAGAAAAATTTCTGTGTTAGAAATCTACCATTGTAATTGTAATCACATGCTGAAAATGTTGTCGTCTTTTAAGAGTCTAAAATAAAGAAACCGGTGAAACTATAAAAAGATGTAGTAATGTCAGAGTTGTGGATCTCTGCCAAATAGGCTGGCTAACTTCAAGGGCATCTATGCTAAGAGTTCACATTTAATCCCTTACGTGCCTTTGTGGGCAGGTAAGACAAAGTTTGAGAGAACCAGTGCTGTCATTGGAAAAGTAAACAAATTCCTGCTGTAAGTTATCGTAATTCAGTAAATAACATTAATGGTGAATCTTACGTTGACCACCGTAAAACTAGAAAATTGTTAGTGTCTGTACTTTTGAGCTATACGGTTTATTTTAAAAAATAGCTAAAATTTCACAACAATGAAGAAATAACAAGTTTCATCTTAATATAAAAGGATGCTTCAAGTACTTCTCCTTTTAAAAGTATACGCAACAAAGAATTTGTCCATACACTGTTAGCACAAAAGCACAACATCATTTTGAAAACTGGATGCTGAACGCTGTTTTTGTGGAGCTCCACCTAAGCTTGGTAGAAAGTCCAACTTATTTGGAGTGATAAAATGCTACCATAATTCTGATGAGCAATAGTTGCTATCTGAGCTGATCAAATTTCTTTCAGAAGCTATGATGGATCACGTTCAATTGTAGCATCGCTCAGGATTCCCCATTGTTGTTTACTGCCACTTAAGCAGAAGGGGAAATCATGACATGTATCAGAATAGATATTTTGTCTTCTATTAGGTACTGTCTTTATGTTCTTCATTGTTGGACAATCTTTAATTATATCACACCAGTCAATTTAGGACCTAGTACTTGACACTGGTTATTTTTAACGTGAAAGGTTTAAGCATTCACCTGAAAGAGCTCTGCCTCAGCTGAGAAACAAAGATAAATACATTTTATATTATTTTAATAAAGGGATTAGAATTTTTAAGACAGACAATTCTTAATCCATTTTACTAGTCCATTTTAACAAATACACCGATAAACAGGCTTCACGCATATCCCAGGAATTAAGTATTTCTAAAGAGGATAATTTCTGAACTAAAAGAAGTATTTGCTTAATATTTACAGGAAAGACACGCCTCATGTTGGTAAACTGAATATTTGATATGCTCTGGAATTTTTACTGATACCATTAAAAAACACATAATCAAGCCCTGATATTCAAATAATTGGTCCAAGTGTGCCTTCAATATGAAGTAATCTTAGTTCTGTGAACATAATCAGGTTGCTACCACTGAATTAGCAAACATCCACCTTGCTATGAGTCACAATACTGCCATGCTTTGAAGTTTAAATACTCAAAGTAAGCTAGCAGTTGTCTTAAGAGAGGCTGTAAGAGATAAACATTGCATATTTTATAGCCGATAAGAAAATATTCAGAGAATTCTGTTTCTCGGGAGTAAACTCGTAATATTGTGAGGTACCAGCCTTTTAAAAATACTATTAAGTTACTTGCAGCCAGAGGACATAGACTCTCCATTATATTTAATATACATCCCATGCTGAAGAATAGCAGAGATGTTCACAGCACGTTTAGGGTACGAACGACGTCAGAAAAAAGCCTTCAACCAACACGAGACACAGAATAGTAATAAATTAAACCGTATTCCAAACCGATATAAAAGTTGTTCAAGTCTGTAAAGTGTCAGGTGTGTCATGCAACAAAAAGGACAGTTCAGGGCAAACCAGACATTACAGTTTGCACTCACGGTATACAGCATGGTGGCTCCAGCCTGATTTCTTGGTCAGAGACAGAAGAGGAGGGAGGTTGCCGAGGTTATCAGCATTGCCTGAAAAACCCACCGGTCATCAGTCCCTCCAACACATTGGCAAGTGTTTCCAGGCCTCAGGAATTTTTCAAACCTAATGCTCTCCCTGCATTAAGTTATTTGTTGCAGTACTGAGAAATCCCATCTATGTAAGGAAAGCCATCCGATCTTGATTGGCCTTTGCTAGATAACGCATAAGCTACCCAGGCCAGATTTCGGTCAAAAGCGGACTTTTTAAGAGCTGCTCTTCGCAATGTACTTCGCAGCAACGTTAGGCCCCACAAAACCTTCCAAGGACTCCCATTAGGCTCTGTTTTCAAGCAATGCCCCCAACACAATCCCTCGCACGCCACATACTGACACCCACACATCCGTGCAGAAACCTCCACGGCTTTGCATAAACAGCCTTTCTTCTTCAGAGGCCAGCAAGAGAACTATACTTCAGTCAAAGGCAAGGTCCGGCCGAGTTCTTTAATTCCCTGAAGGATTCGCTTCATATGACCCACTTTCGTGATCCCCAGGTCCTACAAGACAAGGAGAAGGGAAAGGTCAGTCACAAGAGTTTGCTCACAGGCACCCAATGATCTTTTAACCTTTAACAATGAGGACCGGTTCAGATGGCCAGCAAAGGGGGCAGGTTTCCAGGAATGATCCTACCTCTAGTCAAAAGCACAGGGAGAGAACAAGGAACCCATAATAAACCCCCCCAACCATTGCTACTGTGCTAATCATGTAATAAGCACCAGTTCCCATGACTGATGACACATGGCAGAGTTCTTAAAAGCAATTCCTGCAGCCATGCAAATAATAGTGATAATACTAATACAGTGGTACCTCGGGTTACATACGCTTCAGGTTACATCCGCTTCAGGTTACAGACTCCGCTAACCCAGAAATAGTGCTTCAGGTTAAGAACTTTGCTTCAGGATGAGAACAGAAATCATGCTCTGGCGGCACGGCAGCAGCAGGAGGCCCCATTAGCTAAAGTGGTGCTTCAGGTTAAGAACAGTTTCAGGTTAAGTACGGACCTCCGGAACGAATTAAGTACTTAACCCGAGGTACCACTGTACAGTGGTTTAAGAACAGCTTAGTTTATGAACAACTTGGATTAAGAACACTGCAAACCCAGAAGTAAGTGTTTTGGTTTGTGAACTTTGCCTTGGAAGCAGAATATGTTTCGCTTCCTGTTGAGTGTGTTCCATTTGTAAATCGAGTCCCCTGCTGCTATGGGAAAGCACACCTTGGTTTAAGATCGCTTTGGTTTAAGAACGGACTTCCGGAACGGATTAAGTTCGTAAACCAAGGTACCACTGTACTACTACTACTACTAATGTAATTTCCTAAACAAGGTGTATTTCTAAATATTAAGATGTATAGACAATTTTTGTAATTTATTCTGAATAGATTTAGATAACGTTACTTACCTGCAACAATAATGCAAAAAATTTCTAATAAACTCATGGGACATTTAAACAGGAGGTTTCTCGATATATCCAGAAAATGTCAACCTCTGGGGGAAGGGCTGCATCTCAGCAGTAGAGAACATGCTTTGTACAGAGGAACACCCAGGCTCAGACCCCCCCCCCACACCTCCAGGTGGGGCAGTCCATTTAGACAACAGTGAGCTAGATAGATGAATGGTCTGATAGTACAAGGCAGATTCCTACATCCTACCTCCACTGTATCCTAAATGTTGCGACCCACAACAGATTTTTCTGCCCAAGACACCTCAGATTTGTCTTCTATGTCCCCCCCCCCCAAGCCCAGTTTAGGTCCCTCTCTTTTAATATCTGGTGGAATGAATCTCTTGACTGGCAGATATGACAAGGTCCCTTCAGAGAACAATAGGTTTTCCTCTACGTGTGCGGAAAGCACAGAGACTTTGATGTGTTTATTGTGCTGTGAAAAACCCAAGTTGGAAAGCCATTGCATGCCCACATTTCAGAATGATAAGTGTCACTTTGTCATAACATGGAGATCGTCACGAAGCTGCTGGGATTAAACGAGTATCCTAATGAGGGATGCAGCTGGGAAGCAGAGGATATGGAGAAAAGCTTCCTTCTGAGAAGAAGTCGTTACAAAATGTCTACCCAAAATCTTGCCTGATTAACACAGAAGATGCAATAAGATTACTCCAGAAATTAGTTCCTTCAACTCAACTTCCAAGGCTGATCTGTTTTTAAGGAAGTGCTCCAAATAATCCCCCTAATCAAATATTTTGAAACGATCAGCAACAAAGAATGAAATTTATACAGTATGGCCACCACTTGCATGCATTTAACCCGTCTGCCTTCTGCTTTACACATCTTGCAATAAAATAAATAAATAAAATAAAATAAAATAACAGGGGTAGAAAGGGGGCAGGTGTCCAGGAACGTATTGTTGGCAATCCCTCCTAATTTCACCTAGTGTGTTTTGACCATCCACAATTTTGGCCTTTTCAGAAATTGCAGATGGGATCCTTTCCATAAAAATAGTGTAACAAATTGAACTAGGTTTGTGGGGTAGAAAAAAGGAAACAATCATATATACAGTACTTGAATGCTTCTTCTCATTAACCTCCTACCCAACAAAGGAAAAGCGAGTTTCTCACAGAGAAGCCTTGCACAAAAACTCTCCCTTGCAAATGAGGCTACTTCCCATTACTGAATTATCCTTTATGTTCACCCTGACTTGAATGGCAGTGGGATACAGTTCAGGGATGACTTTGCCATGCTATTTTCTTGAACATGTATTTTGGAACAAAGAGGACCTGTAACAGCCTGAAGCATATGGTGTATTGGTTAAGAGCGGTGGACTCGTAATCTGGTGAACCGGGTTCGCTTCCCCGCTCCTCCACATGCAGCTGCTGGGTGACCTTGGGCTAGTCACACTTCTCTGAAGTCTCTCAGCCCCACTCACCTCACAGAGTGTTTGTTGTGGGGGAGGAAGGGAAAGGAGAATGTTAGCCGCTTTGAGACTCCTTAGGGTAGTGATAAAGCGGGATATCTCATCCAAACTCCTCCTCCTCTTCTTCTTCTTCTTCCAAGACTCAGTCCTAGTGACCCTGTTCTATGGGTCCCCTCCCCTTGGGGCCTGTTCTCAAGATTTCTTTGTGCTCCTGCCAACCCCATCTCCGGGATCCCACACAGACACATGGCTTACCATGTCATGCAAAGCAGTCCATTAACTCATTAACTTTAGAAGTACGGTAACCAAAATATGGAAGCGGGTGGCGCTATGGGTTAAACCACAGAGCCTAGGACTTGCCGATCAGAAGGTCGGCGGTTCGAATCCCCGCGACGGGGTGAGCTCCCGTTGCTCGGTCCCTGCTCCTGCCAACCTAGCAGTTCGAAAGCACGTCAAAGTGCAAGTAGATAAATAGGTACCGCTCCAGTGGGAAGGTAAACGGTATTTCCGTGCACTGCTCTGGTTTGCCAGAAGCAGCTTAGCCATGCTGGCCACATGACCAGGAAGCTGTACGCCGGCTCCCTCGGCCAATAAAGCGAGATGAGGGCCGCAACCCCAGAGTCAGCCACGACTGGACCTAATGGTCAGGGGTCCCTTTAACTTTACCTTTAACCAAAATATAATGGGGGGGGGTACTTTTCATAACTAGTTAAAAACTGGACAGCTTACTAACAGAGGGAAATGGCTCAGCTCCTCTCTAATGTCAGGATTTATTATATAAAAATACACATGTAAACTACCTTTCTCTTAACAAATGAGTATTAGTTTCTTAAGAGAAACTAGGCATTTCCACTAAAATAGTGAAATTGGAAAATGACACGATAATCAGAAGTAATTCTAGATATGTTCATAACCAATAGGAAAGAAATATGATTAAATTAACCAATTATTAGTAGTATCAAGAGTTATATCATCTTTTTCCTTTCTCCCAGGCCTGTGAGGTTTGGATGGCCTCCCTAGGAATTGAGCCTTTAGGGTGCAAGCCCTTCTCTTTCCTGTGGAACTCCCTGCCTATAGAGGTTCAACAGGAACAGTCCCTGCCTCCTTTCTGATGTCTTCTGAAAATGGCACAGTTCAGGCAGGTCTTCACAATATGTTTTTTTCCTTAAAACAACCAGTATTTACTGACATTTTACTGATGCTTTTAATTATAGATTATAGATTTTATAGCTTTATAGATATTAATAGACTGGTTTTGTTGCATTTTATATGTTATAGGCTGCCTTGTCATATTTTATGAAAGAGAGGATTATAAATTTTCAAATAAGTCTGAATAAATAAGAAGAGTTTGTTTTAAGAGCCTCTGCACGTTCTATGTTGAGCTTAGGGGTCTGCTCTTGTTGTCGCCAATTTCCTTTGGTACTATGGTGTTCTGTTGATGCCTGCTTGTTATTAACTGATAAACTGTGGACCTCTTTGGATAACTGGGTTATTTGAGAGGCAATACCTCTAATTTGCTGGAAGATATGCTCAACCGTTCTTGCAATTAGAGTTAATTGGGTACTCTCCCAACTTGTTATTCCTTCCTCTCTGAGGAGCACAGGATCAGCTTGCCCCATTGCTGGATCCAGTTCCACGCTCTCACCTTGAATACTCTCCCCACACTCACAATCATCTTCAAGAGGAGAAAACCGGTTTTTTGTTGGAACTGTAAAAGCAGATTTGTTAAAAAAGTCCTCTATTTTAGATTGTTTGGGAACCGGTGAGAGAGCTACATCCTCTGGGTCCCTGTGGCGTTTACTAGCAGGCATAGCGTCACCGTGGGGAGTAAACAAGGAGAGGTTTCCCCAACCAAAAAAGAGAGAAAAGAATAGAAAGTGCTCAGTTTGTTCAATTTAAGAGCTTCTCTGTGTGGAGTCTGAATATTTCACTACAAATTTCAACAGAGCCCATTCATACTACATTGCGATTCCCGTGAATCACCTTCCTTGTTTGTAGAAATGCGTGTAAACTAAGGCATTGTGGGCTCATTGCAAACTTGCAAATTGCAGCTGCACAATTCTTCTGCAGAACCTGTTGCATTTAACGCTCAATCAATTAAGGCATTTGTCCATACCTTCCCTAAGGTAAAGGTAAAGGTACCCCTGCCCGTACGGGCCAGTCTTGCCAGACTCTAGGGTTGTGCGCCCATCTCACTCAAGAGGCCGGGGGCCAGCGCTGTCCGCAGACACTTCCGGGTCACGTGGCCAGCGTGACAAGCTGCATCTGGCGAGCCAGAGCCGCACACGGAAATGCCGTTTACCTTCCCGCTAGTAAGCGGTCCCTATTTATCTACTTGCACCCGGGGATGCTTTCGAACTGCTAGGTTGGCAGGCGCTGGGACCGAACAACGGGAGCGCACCCCGCCGCGGGGATTCGAACCGCCGACCTTTCGATCGGCAAGCCCTAGGCGCTGAGGCTTTTACCCACAGCGCCACCCGCGTCCCAATACCTTCCCTAAGACGCTATTAATTTCAGAAAGCGATACACCTCCATTCACCTTCTCCAGGAAAAAGATTAATGAAAATTTAACACATGCAGATGCAAAATGCACAGAGGCACACTATAGGTATACCAGAAAAACATCTGGAACTAGGAATAACAGCTTCACTGATGTGCTACAGAAACCTGCTAAATGCCAGAAAACAGGCAGAAGGAAGCCACCTGTTTCAGGACACAAGTTTCCATAATACGGTTCCTCAGACAGCTAGTGTTAGACATGCCAGACAGGATTGGAATCTAGAACTATGAACACAAATGAGTTAACTGATAATTAAAAACAGAAACTAAACATTATGCCTAAGACCATTTTCCTCCTGTTCAGGAGATGTCAGGAATAAGCTGAATTACATCCGCAGACAACTCCTGGCCTCTCTACTCACTATTAAGATTTCTTTGTTGCCCCAAACATCAATGATGATAGCCTAAAATGAAAGACAGAGGTAGAACAGGAGCGATGGTGGTGGAGGAGTGGAGGAAATCTCCTGGAAATGTACACACAGAAGTGGCTCGCAGGTGGGACACTGTTGCACAGTGGGAGGGACACGGAGAAGGGGGAGGCGGGGTGGGGTGGGGAGACAGAGGTGGTGCAAACACATCCGTGGAGCCAATCCAGCGCTCCAGGTGGTATGCTCCCCACAGCCTTGCCCCTCTCCCTTCCAGCAAACCACAGCAACCTACCGGCCCAGAAGCTCACAGTGTTTCGACCTCACCTGTCGAGCTGCTTCTGCGGACAATTCTGTTTGGAGCAGAAAGAACTGTCTATCTTATCCACAAAGCTGGTCTGACTAGCAGCAGTGCCAGATACAAAATGTAGAATACCTACTTAGGTTACCCTAGAATGCCTCAAATAGAAAGGGATTATGACCCAGAGTGAGGGATGGGTGTATTTTAAAATCTTGCATCACATGTATCTTGATAACGGCCAGTTGATGGATTACAGATTATCTCCAACATAAGCCCTTTTAATGTTAATGTAGTTATTTTCATATAAATCAATACAGCCAATACATTTAGCGATTTCTCAAAGCCTGCTTCCACCATTACTCTGTACAAATCATTAAAAGAAGCAAATTCCCAATATTCCTATGAATAAGAAGATGGAAGTCTGGCCTAACTGACAGCATGTTAGTTTGGGGTTGGTTGGTTTGTTGTTTTGCAAGTTTGCACACTAAAAGCAAAGCTACAAGCACGCAGCTGGAACAGGGACAGAGGAAAGTTTTTAATTAATTTCTAACAAAGAAAAATTATCATAAGCAGAAAAGTAGCACATAGAAAATACCTTAAGATCTCGCCTTTCCAGATGTAAAAGCTCAGAGCCTCGGATGTCATGGCTGATGAAGATTTCTTTGTACTCTCCCAAACTGAGCAGATCCAGCCAAGCGGCAACTTCATCTGTGCCCCATTTTTGAACTACCAAAGTTAAGAGCAAAACCCCCTTAATTTCTACATGCTCAACTCGCATCACAAGCAAAGGTTAGGCCACAGAGGGTGAAAAACAGACGAGAACACGGCAGTGACAGCAAAAGTCAAATATAGTCTTGAAAAAATTGGCAGCTTCATTTTTTCCATGCAGTTAAAGAAAACCTGTGAATGTATGTTAAATTAAAAAAAAAGAAGACAGGGCATTCTGCATTGCAGCCATGCTTTCAGCTTCAGCATCAAAGCTACCAAGCTTCCTGAACACCAACTAATTAACTTGTAACCATATTAGAAGATGTACTACAAGGTCTGTGCATGTTCTGCTGCACAGAAATGATGATTTATTGGCTTCCATGTTAGTAGGGGGAAAATCAGTACTCATTAAAACATAAACAACTACAGCCCTTAATTCAGAAAATTATCTATTAGCCATATCAGGCAAAAGAGCACATTTAAAAGTTCTGTCAACATTGTTCTCCAAGGTTAGTTGCCCACATTAAACTGAGAAAGGAATTTAATAAAGAAGAATGAGTACATAAGCCATTGTTTCAATTTTCATGTGTTTTACGCAGTGCTATTTCGTTTCAGAAGCTGGATGTGACACACGATGCCTCTGAAGTGTAAGCAACAGCTAACCAATTATTTCAATGAAGCCTCTTACATTTATTAAGAATTCTGTGCTCGCTATTCTTCTTCTTCTTTTTTTAGCATTTTCAAAAATGTTCTCTGCTAAAGGACCCTACTCTGAGATCTCTAGTGAAGTGGTAACCTGTACACATTCTGTAACAATGGGAGAAGAGGGTTGAAAAGTTTGTTTAAACTCAAAAAACACACTGGGCCAGGCTTCTAAAGCACACTGCTATCTGGCATAAACTGAGAGCGCACCCCAGAACATACCAAACACTTGCCTGCAACTGTACAGTACAGAGGAGGAACAGGACAAGAGGACAAGGGATGCTTGCTGGCCATTGCTGAAATGAGGATGAATCCCAAGGATTTCCTGGGACACCCTTTGAAAACTAATACAGTCGTACCTTGGAAGTCGAAGGGAATCCGTTTCGGAAGTCTGTTTGACTTCCAAAACGTTCAAAAACGAAATTGCGGCTTCTGATTGGCTGCAGGAAGCTCCTGCAACCAACCGGAAGCTGCGGAAACCCCATCAGACGTTCAGGTTCCAAAAGAACGTTCGCAAACTGGAACAACCACTTCTGGGTTTGCGGCATTCAGGAGCCAAAACGTCTGAGTTCCAGGGCGTTTGACCACCAAGGTATGGCTATATTAGATTTTAAGGGCTAGCTAATCCCAGGACAGTCAAACCAGTGAGAGATATTTCACATCCTCCAAAAACAGACCACAGGTCGTTTATGCAAGGACATGGGTCAAGGTTCCTTTCAGCTCAAAGCTGAGTCAGATAACGATTCATCATCTGAGCATGTAATGAAAGATTTGAACCACATCTCCCCGATAGCCACATTATTATTACAGTATTATTATTTTTATAAAGCATACCGAGCTGAGGGCTAGTCTTTTGTTTCTGAACCTTTTCCTTTTTAAACTTTGGCACTATGCGGAATACAGTGCTTCTGTTGTTTCTTTTAGCATATTCCAAAGGAGGATCCTAAAAACAAAAGAGAGGGGAAAACAATGTTGAGAGCAAAACTTAAAAATTCGGGGGGGGGGGAGAGAATGGCAATTTCAAGGACAGAACTTGGATTTGAAAAATGGGAAGACAGAATAAAAGGGGGTGAAAGTCACAAGAACAGTTCCAAAAGCACAGTCCTTATTATAAATCAGCTTCATTTCTCCACCATGATGTCAGCACATAGGCAAATCTGACCACCCAGGCAGCAGTTTTAATGTCCAGTACATGTTATCTGTCTGGCCAAGAGAAGGGAAAAAATGCAAAAGATTCCCCTTCCTAATCTACTCCAATCCACCCCAAACGGAGGAGCTAAATTGGGCTTGAAAACATACTTAAGGTGGGATGGGGCAGGGGAGAGACAGCTGGAAGAAGGAAAAATATTTTCAAGGTTTCCCATTTGTGGCTGCTTTATTGTAGGTTTAAGCAATAACAATAATGCTAAAGATTTCATTATTTGTACCCCGCCCATCTGACTGGGTTTCCCCAGCCACTCTGGGCGGCTCCCAACAAAACATTTAAAGCACAATAAAACCTCAAACATTAAAAGCATCCCTAAACAGTGCTGCCTTCAGACGTCTTCTAAAAGTTGTGCAGTTCTTTATCTCCTTGACATCTGACGGGAGGGCGTTCCACAGGGCCGGCGCCACGGCCGAAAAGGCCCTCTGCCTGGTTCCCTGTAACCTCACTTTTCATAGGGAGGGAACCACCAGAAGACGTCTCAGTGTCCAGGCTGAACGGGCAGATATTCTGGGCTGAGGCCATTTAGGGCTTTAAAGGTCAGCACCAACACTTTAAATTGTGCTCAGAAATGCACTGGGAGCAAATGTAGCTCCTTTACAGTGGTATGTTTTCTGAGAATCCTCCGGGAAAATAATCTCTCAAAGTACCTGTTGATGGCATTTTACCATTGTACTGTTGAGAGTGTATTAACTTATGGTCTGTGTGTGTGGTTTGGGAGCTGCACGGTCAGGGGCAAAACAATGTTATCCAGGGTTGTAAAAACTGCGGACAGAATAACTGGGTGCACTCTCCCCACCTTGGATCAAATCTATGCTTCCAGGTGCCATAAGAAAGCTGCACATATAGTGCAGGATAGTGCGCACCCTGGAAATGATCTCTTTCAGCTTCTGCCTTCTGGAAGAAGGTCCAGGGTTATAAAGACTAGGACTAGCCGCCTGAGAAACAGTTTCTACAGTGGTACCTCGCAAGACGAATGCCTCGCAAGACAAAAAACTCGCTAGACGAAAGGGTTTTTTGTTTTTTGAGCTGCTTCGCAAGACGATTTTCCCTATGGGCTTGCTTCGCAAGACGGAAACGTCTTGCAAGTTTGTTTCCTTTTTCTTGACACCGTTAATACAGTTGCAACTTGACTTCGAGGAGCAACTCATAGAACGCGGTGTGGTAGCCTTTTTTGAGGTTTTAAAAGACTTTGGTGATTTTTGAAGCTTTTCCAAAACTTTCCCGACACCGTGCTTCGCAAGATGACAAAAATCGCAAGACGACAAAACTCGCGGAACGAATTAATTTCGTCTTGCGAGGCACCACTGTATTCAAATGCGATTTTGGTTTTAAATGCAGTGTAAGGTAGTCTCTATGGGAGTATATTGTATTTAATTATGGGGTATCAGAGTTTTTAGGGGGCTAACCAGGCTGGGATAGCTGGGATAGCAGACATGTTGTTTTCCGAATGCCTGATATAGATTTTCAGTTTTGTTGTTCTGTATGGGACAATGACAATAAATATTATCATATCGTACCTCTAGATACGCACACCCCTGGTTGCATATCTTTCAGGATGCGAACGTGGCAAACCAGGAAATATTTTTCCAGGTTTCGCCACGTGAGCATGCGCAGAAGCACTCTACGCACTGCACGCATGTGCAGAAGTGGCACTTCCGGTTGCAAATTCCTCTGGATGCGGCCAGAACGGATCCTGTTCACAACCTGAGGTACCACTGACCAAAAAAAAAAAAAAGAAAGCAATAGCAAAGATGGATATAACGCGCAAAGGAGTTTTTGGATGCCAGCATGATTCAATTTACCGATTTAATAAAAAGAATATTTAAAGAATATTTAGAAAACTATGGAATAAAAGGAAACATCTTGCCAGAATTAGACTGATCCCTGTATTGTATAAATGTAAGTTTGTAGGGAAGTAAAAAGAAATTATATAAGAAATATGTAACTGTGCGGTATAAAGTAATGGATAGACAAAGTTAAGTGAGATTAATTGGAAGTCAGTGTTAAATTTATTCTCTATAAGTTTTATAATTGTGTTCAATACCAGGAGTATATATGAAGATAATTATATTAATCTTCTTATATCTTATAGTGTGGTGGTTTGTTTGATTCTTCTGTTATTTGTTTGTTTGATTCTATGTTTGTTTACTTGTATGTAAGTCTGTTTTTCATAATTGTATTTATTTTAAATTAATAAAGATATATATATATATATTTTAAATGAAATGAAATGAAAGCAGGCTTGCAAGTGTGAATTTCACCCACCTCATCGTCATTTAATTGCAGAACATACAAGAGCCAGGGAATCTCAGCCAGTTTCCTTAATTCACTCTCTAAATTGTGCACAGCTGTTGAGAGCAGTTCTTCGTGAGGGGATTCTAACTGCTGCAGAAACAAATCACAAAATGTTACCCGGCCTGTGTCCTTTAAAGGGGAGCATCTACCATATTTTTCGCTCTATAGGATGCACCCAACCATCGGACGCACCTTGTTTTAGAGGGGGAGAACAAGAAAAAAATATCTCCCCCTCTCTGCGCAGCGCCCCTTCAGCAAAGCGGCAGGAGAAACGGAGCCCCTTCCATTTCTCCTCCCGCTTCGCTGAAGGGGTGCTGCACAGCTCTCCCTCTTTGCTTAAGCCAGGAGAGTCTTGCTCTCTCTGGAACCTGAAACCAACCACTCTCGCTCTCCAGGCTTCAGCAAAAGGAACCCGAAGCCTTTGGAGCGCAGCGCGAGTTCCCGCTGCGCTCCAAAGGCTTCAGGCAGCTATCCCTGAAGCCTGGAGAGTGAGAGGGGTCGGTGCACTCCAGGCTTCAGCAAAAGCAACGCGTAGCCTCTGGAGCACGGAGGAAGCACTCCCTACGCGCTTTGGAGGCTTCGCATTGCTATCGCTGACGCCAAGGAGCCTGCATTCACTCCATAGGACGCACACACATTTCCCCTTAATTTTTGAGGGGAAAAGGTGTGTCCTATAGAGCGAAAAATATGGTCATTTCCCAACTTTTACAATTAAATGTACTACCATTTTTATTTTTTAAATTGCAATTGGATGCCATTTTGAATAACATGGAGACTGCACCTTTCAAAATTGCACTGATTTTCCGTTTCTTATTATTCCCAACCAATGCTGGGCACATGTGCTGTAAACTACTGATTACATGTGTCGTCAGGAGCAACTGGAGCCACCACACAGATGAAGAAACAAGGCGCTGAGATAACACAAAATAAATATACTGAAGTTCTGCTCCAAAAGTGCCCAGTTCTCCAAGTTATTTATTTATTTATTATCTATTTATTTGATCTATTAATCACAGGAATTTCTAATCAACGTACATAAAACTTTCAAAAAGCATGCAATGGCTAAAATCAATTAGAATTAATCATACAAACCAAGAGGTTCCTTAAAATTGCTGCTAAAATTTAGAAAAGTCTCTGTCCAGTGCCTGAATTTGAACAGGGAGAAAAAGTTCACTTACCAAAGGAGCTCTTCCTACTAGCAAGGATTTGGTTTCATCATGCAGAGCCTTCATGTTGACAGCGACTTCCAGGGCAATGTTTCTGGTAAGGCTCTGTGGGAAGAAAACCAAGGAGCACATTTACTCGTAAACAGTTTATAAGAGTTGAAAAATCAAATAAACGCAGCTGGCTTTTCCTTTCCAAATCTTAACAAGGGTCCTGAACTCTTTTGACCACATTTGTTGAAAGGCTGGGTTGAAATACAGTGGTACCTCGAGTTAAGAACTTAATTTGTTCCGGAGGTCTGTTCTTAACCTGAAACCGTTTTTAACCTGAGGTACCACATTAGCTAAAGGGGACTCCCACTGCCACTGGGCTGCCGGTGCACAATTTCTGTTTTCATCCTGAAGTAAAGTTCTTAACCCAAGGCACTACTTCCAGGTTAGTGTAGTCTGTAACCCAAAGTGTTTGTAACCTGAGGTGTTTGCAACCTGAGATGTTTGTAATCCAAGGTACCACTATAATGTAAGAAGGTCGGCGGTTCGAATCCCCACGACGGGGTGAGCTCCCGTTGCTTGGTCCCAGCTCCTGCCAACCTAGCAGTTTGAAAACACATCAAAGTGCAAGTAGATAAATAGGTACCACTCCGGCGGGAAGGTAAACGGTGTTTCCGTGCGCTGCTCTGGTTCACCAGAAGTGGCTCAGTCATGCTGGCCACATGACCTGGAAGCTATACACCGGCTCCTTCAGCCAGTAAAGCGAGATGAGACCACAACTCCAGAGTGCTTCGTGACTGGACCTAACGGTCAGGGGTACCTTTACCTTTTTAAATGCTGTATTAAGGGTCAGGAAGGAAATCTCCTCCAGGACTAGGGAGGTTCATGCAGTGCCTGTTTTGGGATCACCTGCTGGCGTCATATTGTGCTACCTGCTCTGCAAACGTCCTTGTTCTCTACTTGCGGCACTGAGAAAGAAAGATCACGGGGAACCTTTTCCCCCCTTGTCAGCTGCCTGACACAGTCCTAAAGTCAACGGCCTCAGTAATCCATTCTCAATACAGTGGTACCTCGGGTTAAGTACTTAATTCGTTCCGGAGGTCCGTTCTTAACCTGAAACTGTTCTTGACCTGAAGCACCACTTTAGCTAATGGGGCCTCCTGCTCCTGCCGCACCACCGGAGCACAATTTCTGTTCTCATCCTGAAGCAAAGTTCTTAACCTGAAGCACTATTTCTGGGTTAGCGGAGACTGTAACCTGAAGCATATGTAACCTGAAGCATATGTAACCTGAGGTACCACTGTACCCGAAAATGATACGTGACAGGATCATTCCTCCACAGCCGGAATTCTAATCAAACTTGAGGTGCAGCGTGCAGATAGAGAGCATTTAAAACATTATACGTAACAAGGCTTCATTTCAGATTGATCAGCCATCATAAAGATGCATTGGGTTTAAAACAGGCATCCCCAACCTGCGGCCCTCCAGATGTTTTGGGACTACAACTCCCATCATCCCTAGCTAACAGGACCGGTGGTCAGGGATGATGGGAACTGTAGTCCAAAAACATCTGGAGGGCCAAAGGTTGGGGGGGTGCCTGAAAACCTGAATGGCTTGCAAGGATGTGGTCAACCATGTCCTCCCTTGACCACTGCCCCCTCGAGGCTCATTAAACCTTGCATGGGGAGGGAGAGAGGGAGGGAGGAAGGACCTGATATGTCTACAGTGTGATCAATACACATCAATCGGCAGGAGGGAATGGCCCAAGCTCTCCTGAAAGAGGTGGTGATTCAATGATTCTGGAAAAAGCTTAAAGGAGGCCCACTAGTTCAGTGTTTCCCAACTGGTGTTCCGCGGCACACTAGTGTGCCGCGAGACGTTGCCTGGTGTGCCGTGGGAGGGAGGCGGGCGAGTCGGGCGGCGAGAGGCGGGGCGGCGGCGGACGAGGAGAGGCCGCCCAGCGCGGGGCTCTCGCCGTCTGCCTGCCTGGCTGCCTGCGTGGCGCTGACATCATGGGGCTGTAACGTGCCCCACATAGGCACACGCGGGGCGGCGAGCGAGCTCCCTCCCACATCCCATCGCCGCTCGCTTCGGCCGGCCTACTGGGCTGTCGCAGGCGGAAGGCCTGCGCATGCGCGAGGTTTTCGCGCCTTCGGGATTCCCTTCACGCCTTCCTCCTCCCGGGTCCTTGAGAGCGCGGGAAGCGGCAGCGCGAGACCGGCCTTGAGCCTGGTAGGTATTGCGCTTGCCAAGGCAGTCATTTGGGAAATGAAAACTTGCAAAGCAAGCAACCAGTTCAATCTGAAGTACGTGTGTGCTTAATATCCTGTATCTGAAACCTGTTCTGCCCCCTCCCCCACACTTGGTGCCATTTTCATCTACACATGCAGCAGAGTAAGTTGACCCAGAATAGTACCGGTTGGTTTGGTTTTTATTGGTTTTCTTGGTTTTCATTGGTTTTCATGAAAACCAATGAAAACCTGAAAACCAGAATAGTACCAATTCAGATGGCAGATGGGAGAATGACAGTGCTGAATGCTTTCCCATGTAGAACAGTCCCTGCAAATAAAAACCCAGCATATTTGGAAGAGGGCCTAACCATTACCTTCTATGCTGTTACTATTTTTTTTTTTTTTTTTTACATAAGTAAAAGTTTATATATAGTCAATATAGGCACAGAGTTAATTTTTTAAACATTTTCTAATGGTGGTGTGCCTCGAGATTTTTTTCATGAAACAAGTGTGCCTTTGCCCAAAAAAGGTTGGGAAACACTGCACTAGTTCATGACATCTCTTGCCCAGTTGCAAACACCCCCATTTGGGAGAAAGGCTGTGCGAAATTTGCAGGTATTCTTGGATGGAACAGGCAACCTTCACCCATTCCAGTGGAGGCTCAGGGCTGCTTGTGGGGCTGAATCTTCCTTGGTCGCCCTGATGGATGGCCTTTATTACAGAAGAATGGGGAAGTGTGATGCCATCAGTGCAAGAGAGGTTGAAAATAGGTTTCCCTCGGCTATGTCCGACGCAAGTTGTTGGTCTTCTGCATGGAGAAGATGGAGCTCTTGGGTGTCAGAGAGAAGGGGGAAGGAACTGCTCAACCCCTGCTTTGCCCCTGTCTTCACCCCAAAAGAAAAACAATGTCTAAACTGGTGATGACATAATAAGAGGTTGGATGTCCATCTGTCATGGATGCTTTAACTGAGATTCCTGCATTGCAGGGGGAACCCTGCAATTCAATGATCCTGTTATTCTTACTTGATTTGTTGGTAGCTTTCAATACCGTTAACCACAGTAATCCTCCTGAACAGACTCTGGGTGATGGGTATTGGGGACACGGTTTATAATAATAATAATAATAATAATAATAATAATTTATTTGTACCCCGCCCATCTGGCTGGGTTTCCCCAGCTACTCTGGGTGGCTTCCAACAAAGATTAAAAATACATTAAAACGTATTTTCTATCCTATCGCCAGGGTTGGTTTCAGAGAATAACGCTGGGTGGTGATTTCTCAGCTCCTTCGCGGTTGTGCTGTGGAATGCCACAGGGTCCCATCCTGCCCCCATTGCCATTTAGCATGTACATGAGATGGTCATGAGGAGATCTGGGACAAGTATATTGAGGAGAGGGCAGTCTGCAGGTCCATTCTGCACCATGTTGCAACTGGGCCTTAGGGGTGATGACACCTAACTTTTGTAACTCCCTTTTGCGATGTATCAGACAAGTGCCATCTTGTTTTGAGGCAATTCCTGAAGACTTTCCCTCACAAGCCTTCTAAGTGGAGCTGTTGCTATTGGATTTGAAATGGATTATATATATGTACACCTTGTTCTGTATGTAATCATTGTTTTAATTGTTTTTGTAATGGATGGTTTTTCTTTTAAAACTGTTTTTATATAGGGAAGTGTTTCATATATGTATTGACTATGTTGTAAATACAGTGGTACCTCGGGTTAAGTACTTAATTCGTTCCGGAGGTCCGTTCTTAACCTGAAACTGTTCTTAACCTGAAGCACCACTTTAGCTAATGGGGCCTCCCGCTGCCGCTGCACTGCCAGAGCACAATTTCTGTTCTCATCCTGAAGCAAAGTTCTTAACCCAAGGTACTATTTCTGGGTTAGCGGAGTCTGTAACATGAAGCGTATGTAACCTGAAGCGTGTGTAACCCGAGGGACCACTGTAACTTCAAAATACCTCATAGGAAGCAAACGACAAATGAAATAAATAACAAAATAATCACATTCAACTAGCACCATAGATTTCCTTTACCTCCGAAAAACTTGGACTGGCTTTGTTTAACGCATGAGAGCATGCATTTACTGCGTGAGCCAGTTCTTGTTCCAACAAGCTGTGTATCTTTGCAGCTTCACAGATTCTGCAACAAATGTTGTGGGTGGAAAAAGAGAAAGGAAATGAGAAAAGGTCGGTAAACAGCTGCCCAAACAGGAAGAAAAGAGATACAGGTCACTCGCAACTAGGGCAGAGGTTCCGTTCCAGGGAAGCCACATAGGCACAAAAACATGACAGGGGGACAAGTTGGGTAAGCAAAATTTTCAGAATCAGTCCACTGACATGGTATTTCAGCACAATACTTGGTCTAAGTTACGGCACATTAGGTGCAAAGACATTGTCAGACCCGGATCTTGTCAAGTTTAAGGCCTCGTGAAGAAAGCAAGGCGAAGGTACCTGCTAATCAGTTCCTCTGCGGCCTGAGAAGACGACTGGATCTGCAAAGTCTCCTCTTCAGTGGCCAGTTCCACAGGCTGTTGAGGGTACAAAGGGGATCTCAGGATCGGTTTGCAGGAATCACACTTCTGTTTGTCTTCCCAGGATTTCAGCGTACTCTCAAAGGCCTGTTCAGAATCGGGGAAGTTGTTTGACATGAATACCAATACTTCCATGTAGGATCGTTATGCACAATAATTCATACCACACTTCACTATTAATTTTTACAATGAAAACTAATGCCAAAAATAAGCTTAATATTTGTGTCTGCATTTGGGGGGGAACATACAATTCCTGGTGAAAAACCAAACACAAACACAAAATACTGCAGAGTACTGCTGTATAGTAAAAACTGCATGTGTGTGTGTGTATGTGTGCGCACACACACATGTGAATGTACACGTGAGGCTGGCTGGATGTTTACCTTCTCCATTAAAAAGATTAAGGTATTTGAAGCACATACTTACACTAACCTTATTTTTGCATGTTACTTATGTTTCTTAATGCACAGAAAAATCAAATTCCTCACAAAGGGATTTATACAGGAGACAGTAGGTGGTATCAGTGGCGTAGTGTGGGGGGTGCAGGGGGGGCTGGCCGCACCGGGCACAACATCTGGGGGTTAGGGTTAGGGGGCACAAATCCACGGGTTTGGGGGCACAAATTACTTGCCTTGCCCCGGGTGCTGACAACCTACGCTACGCCACTGGGTGGTATTCAATGAGACCCCCGGGTATAGGGCGGTATATAAATAATAAATAATAATAATAATAATAATAATAAGAAGAAGAAGAAGAAGAAGAAGAAGAAGAAGAAGAAGAAGAAGAAGAAGAATAGTCCTACTCAGCATAGTCCCATTGAAGGTAATAGACATGACTAACAGGTTTATTCCTTTCAGTGAGTCTACCCTAGGTGGGACTTGAAGGCAACCCATTATATATTAGACAAAATATCCTTTCTATCGCCTACCCTGTCTCGGGTTAGCATCTGTGCTCTGTTTTTATGCACAATTTTAATAATTCCTGGAGGTTGGATCCATGCCTCTCCATCCACCTGCACAGGGACTCCTTCGTCTCCAAGTATGGTGATCTTTACCGACCGGCACTGGAAGAGAGTAAATGGATTTTAAGGAAGGGTGATTTCATCAAAATGTCAACCTGCAAACTCCTTCCGCCGCGCCCCCCCCCCCCTTTTCATATACCGTAGAACTACGGGAAATGTTACTGAAGGAAGGGGAGGGGAAACTGCTAAGGCGCATGCACAATCAGCGACCGGTGCTGCTCAGAGAATGCGCTGCCCGGACAGGGAATGCAGGTGTGAGGACACCAACAGCAGTGGAGATCAAACAAATAAATCATTTATCATAAAGCCACTTCCGAGAGAAGGAGGAGGTGGGGTTGTGGGCTTCACGCCCCTTCCCCACACTCGCGGGGGCTGGCCCCAGCCCACGCGATAGCAGGGAATCCTCGGCCGCGTCATACTCCTTGGTATTGGCGGTTAGGCATTGGTGAGGGTACTGTTTATTGTTATGCAGATGAAGGGGGGGGGAAGGATCGCCATCACCTTCCCCCAAACAAAGGGTAGTCCGGTAAAGGATTCCGGGGGGTGTGGCCTTGTCCTAAGCCTATGGAGGTGTGGGCCCACGGCACGCCCCCGCGCGGTGACTCCAGGGGGAGGTCCTAGTTGACGTGCCTCAGCAGGACTCCTCCCACTGGTGGTTAACCCTTACCAGTCTTCAAGCCGGTTAGTTGTTAGGACCAATGCCTAAGCCAATACCACTCAATTCCTGTAATCAAGAAAGTTGTGGCCTAATTTGACCCATTAACTCGAATTCTTGTGTCCTGTGTCTTTATTTCCATGGAGGGAGGCAGGAACTCGCCACGCAAATACACCATAGTCTCCACTGTCCCTCCTTTGAAGGACAGCGAACCCTGGGTAAGCTCCTGGAACCCCCGGAATATCAAACCACTCTGAGATTGTGTATCTGTGTATCTGAAGAAGTGTGCATGCACACGAAAGCTCATACCAAGAACTAACTTAGTTGGTCTTTAAGGTGCTACTGGAAGGAATTTTTTTTGTTTTGACTATGGCAGACCAACACGGCTACCTATCTGTAACTGGCACTCTGAGATTGTTCATGATGATTCCCAAAAAGAAGTGTGGTTATTAACAGCTGTGGCTGTTGTGCATCCAGGTACAACTCGTGGTCAAAAACCTACTGCATTTTGGCATTTATGATGGTCAACACGCTTAAAATGAAAATGAAAAGTCAACGCTTGATTGGTGTGCGCTTGAGCTATGTTTCTTCTCTCCCAGTAGACACACATACCTGGGCTATCCTGTGGTGCTGTAGCTTGATAACACGAGAAACGGCCATCTGCATGCTGCCAAATACCGCAACAACCTCCAAAATCTTATCATCAAATGATGGTGCCCCAAATATCTGGTGGACAGAAAGGAAACACAAGTCTGGGCTTACACTTTTGATGGAAGCCTACCAGCTGCTCTTTGGTCCGTTATGCTCTGTAACTCGTCGAGGAGGACACTGGAACGGGTGCAATTGAGAAATCACATCATACGCTCCAGCGTATAAATCAGCATCCCTCAAACTTCAATGAAGACGTTAAGGATTTGGGATACAATTCAGGTGCACTCTGTTGGGGGCAGCCCCACCCCCTGCCATTCCTGGGGGTTGGACCATCATGTTGTTTAGTCGTTTAGTCGTGTCCGACTCTTCGTGACCCCATGGACCAGAGCATGCCAGGCACTCCTGTCCAACCCTACAGTTCCATGATTCCTGACCATCAACAGTTGGGGCAGCCCCTTCACCCAGTTTTCCTGTGGCTGAAAGAACCCTACTGTTATATATTTTGTAACTTTTTTCCATTTTAAAACAGTAAAGTTCTGACAGCGTTTATATTAGACGCTTAGGGGCTGCCACGCTCCTGTTCACCAACCCGGCCTACCCACCAAGCTGGCCAAGCCCTCCTCCCTTTACACCTGACCAACCCTTCCTGCTTTCTTTACACCTCGCCTGCTGCCTTGCCTGTCCCCCCACAGCTTTCCCCAAGCCATACCCTCTTTTAAACGAGGCTGGGGGCACTTCATCATCATTAAGCTGCTCACCTAAGCTGCCTGCCGGGCCCATGCAGAGCTTCTCTGGGTTCCTGGAAGGGAGTCTTGCTCATCAGATGCACCACAATGTCAACGCCTAATCTGAACTGGCCCCATAGGAGCCAACTCCTAGGGGCTAAGGGGTCTTCAGCCCCCTAGTATAATATTTGAGGGGGCTGGGCCTCCCTGAAGTTGATTGTGTGTGCGCACCATGTCATATGATTGATTATGTGGGGTGGGGCTTACCTGCCCCCCCTCCATGTTTTATTCAAGTTGGCCCCCCGTCTGACGCTACACATTTTATTCAAGTCTGGACCAGCAAATCGAAGACTTGCAGTGCATACGAACAATCATGGGCGTTTCACCCATTAAGTCCCCAAGTTGACTGGGAGACAAGGGGCGTTCTCGGCATGCCAAGACCAGCAGGCCCCTGGCAGAGCCCCCCATGCCGGCTTCAAGGCCCAGGGCAAGTGTACCCGGCTGCCTTCTCTCCGAATGGGTCTTCTGCCTGTCATTTTGTCATCACGCTGGGGTTGATGAACTGCAGCGTGACGAAAGCCTTACTATTTTATGCATATATGAAGAAATAACAAATATGTAGGCATTTTAAGAGTTGTTGTTGTTTAGTCGTTTAGTCGTGTCCGACTCTTCGTGACCCCATAGACCACAGCATGCCAGGCACTCCTGTCTTCCACTGCCTCCCGCAGTTTGGTCAAACTCATGCTGGTAGCTTCAAGAACACTGTCCAACCATCTCATCCTCTGTCGTCCCCTTCTCCTTGTGCCCTCCATCTTTCCCAGCATCAGGGTCTTTTCCATGGAGTCTTCTCTTCTCATGAGGTGGCCAAAGTACTGGAGCCTCAGCTTCAGGATCTGTCCTTCCAGTGAGCACTCAGGGCTGATTTCCTTAAGAATGGATACGTTTGATCTTCTTGCAGTCCATGGGACTCTCAAGAGTCTCCTCCAGCACCATAATTCAAAAGCATCCATTCTTCGGCGATCAGCCTTCTTTATGGTCCAGCTCTCACTTCCATACATCACTACTGGGAAAACCATAGCTTTAACTATACGGACCTTTGTTGGCAAGGTGATGTCTCTGCTTTTTAAGATGCTGTCTAGGTTTGTCATTGCTTTTCTGGAGATGTCAAACCTGAACATACTGTCAATAGAACCAGCAGAATCCTGCTTCACAGGACATTGGCAGAAAAACACTTTTAGAAACAACCCCCTTCACCCTGCTTACATCATCCTCCTTGGTTCCGCCCCAGAAATTAGTCCCGCCAGCGTAGCTTGGGATATTCAGAACAGCTATGCCTTGAAGACTGGGGAGGGGGATGTATTGTCCATCACACTGCAATGCACAAAAACAACAACTGTATAAATGATCCCTGAAAATATTTGCTATATCCTTTAATCACATATTGGACCTAAAGGTCATTTAGTTTACATAGCACAGATTTTCTATACCCATTAAACCGTTTAGTGTGGCAGCGGCTACACATTGGAACTCCCTGCCTGTTGAAATCAAGCAGGCACCCTCCCTGTACTATTTTGGGTGCCTGAGTAGGAAAGGCTACCCATACACTTAGAAACCAGTAGGAGAACACTTCCGTCTCCCAGGACATTCTATACAACACCATTACTGGCCCCAACAACATCACACATACCATCTCAGGACTATTTAATTGCTCATCGTTTAACATTGTGTATGCCATCAAATGCCAACAGTGTCCTTCAGCTCTCTATATTGGACAAACAGGCCAAACCTTACGCCAAAGAATAAACGGACATAAATCTGACATCAAGAATCACAAGACAGAGAAACCAGTAGGAGAACACTTCAATCTCCCAGGACATTCTATACAAGATCTCAAAGCAGCTGTCTTATTACAAAAGAATTTCAGAAATAGACTGGAAAGAGAACTTGCTGAATTGCGACTTATTACCAAACTTAAAACCATGGAGAGACCTGGTCTGAATAGAGACATTGGATTCTTATCTCATTATACATGATAAAGCTATTTTTAGCCATCTCGCCCCTTGCTTTTTTTTTTTAATATTTTATTAAGGATTTTCTTGTTTTACAGAAGTGTAGTGCCTCATATATATTTTTCCCCATGTAACATTTTTACAAATCCGTTTCATTTGTTGAGGCATTAGGGGGAGAAGAAAATAAAAATAAAAAATAAAAAAGGAGAGAAAAAAGAAAGGGGGGTGGAGAGGGGGAAGATGGATAAGGGTGGGATTGGGTGGCGGTGTTTCTATTATGTTTAATGTATGTAGAGTTTGGTGTCAGCGTGCTTGTGTTGTTCACTTGTGTTCCTTTGGTGGTGAGAGAGGTTGGGGTTGGCCTAGGGTGTGATTGTTTGCTTGTGATTGGCTGTGGTGATCTTTGTTTTCGTGTGTGAGTGAGGTGGGTGGGTGTTTTGGATCAGGTTAGCCATATTGATTTGTATGCTGTTGGTGGATTATTGTCATTGTCCTGTTGGGCTGTGTGTGTGATAAAGGGGAGCCATACCGGGGTGAAGGCATCTTCTTCTGTTTGTCCCCGTGTCAGTTTCAGTTTATTAGTTAATTTTTCTAGTAGGGCTGTTTCCCATACTATTTGATACCATTGGTCCATGCTTACTCCTGACAGGTCTCTCCAGTGTCTGGTTATGGTGTTTCTGGCTGCTGAGAGCAGGTGGGTTATGAGTTCTTTGTGGTGTAAATGGGCATTGTTGTCTTGGAAGATGTTTAGTAGGGCCAATTCTGGGGTGGTGTCTATTACTTGCTTAGTTATTTTACAAATTTCTTGTATGGCTGTTGTCCAGAATAGTTGGATTTTGGGACACTCCCACCACATGTGGAAGTATGTGCCTGTGGAGGTGCACCCTCTCCAGCATTTTGGTGAGGTTCCTGGGTGTATTAGCGCTAGTTTCCTTGGTGTTAGGTACCACCTGTAGGTGAGTTTCACTCGCCCCTTGCTTTTTCCTGTAAGACCAACTGCAGTCGTTAACAGTCGTCAACAGGTTTACCATACCCATTGAGTCTATCACCCATTCCCACCACCCTTGAGTAATACCCCTCCCCACCCTCTCACTATATATAAGGGTCTGGTGACTTATGTTTCAGTGTATCTGAAGAGGTGTGCATGCACATGAAATCTCATACCAATAACAAACTTAGTTGGTCTCTAAGGTGCTACTGGAAGGATTTTTTTTATTTTGTTTCATACACTTAGAAATGCTGATGTGAATTTTAATCTGTTTTAGTATTTTAACTTCTTGTATGTTCTGATGTATTGTGAATTGTCACTGAATTTACAATTTAATCTTTTTTAAAAATTGCTTTGAGTGCTTTTTTCCAATCAAGAGGTGTGATTTTTTAATGAAATAGATAAATAAATAAAACAAGTAAGTATGAAGGGACTAGCCTGTAGGGATTGGGGAAGGGGAGGGAGCCTTCTGTTCCTGCAGCCCGACTCTGACAGGGATGCAGTTAGGGATATATAAATATTACCTCAAGCTGAACTTTTTGTTCTAAGTTCTTGTAGGTCCGTTGCAGTAATTCTTTAGTACCAAGTACACCATACCACATCATGTTCTTTGTCCTGCTTCTAAAAGGAAAAGGAAAAATGATCATGCCCAGGCGTATAGTTCACACACTAACCACTGCTAAGATGCAGTTTTTTAAAAAAAGGTATTACATACATGTTTGCAGAAAATATTTCTATTTAAAATCTTGGTTCTGACTCAATTACCTGCATTTTTCAGGGTGTTCTTCTCGTTTGTTATTAAATTCTAATGAAATCTTTGCATCTAATCCAATGCCAAAATAATTGTTCATGACGCACTTCTCTGAATATCCTTCCCTGCAGACAAATGTGCAACTGCATTATAACCTTATCATAGCGAAGGTCGATTGCAAGAACTGTATGTACAAGTATACAATGACACATTTATAGTTTTTCAACTGATTCTATACTACTTCCCCACATTTCTCTCTCTCTCTCTCTCTCTCTCTCTCTCTCACACACACACACACACACACACACACACCATGAGCTAGCAACAGAATTGCGTGTTCCATAAATATTTGGCCATTCCTCCTTCTTCATCTTTTGGGAAGAATACCTTGGGTTTCTGCCATTGGAAAATACCGTATTTTTCGCTCTATAGGACGCACCGGACCATAGGACGCACCTTGTTTTAGAGGGGGAGAACAAGGGGGGGGGAATCTCCCCCTCTCTGCTCAGCGCCCCTTCAGTGAAGCGGCAGGAGAAACGGAGCATTTCTCCTCCGGCTTGGCTGAAGGGGTGCTGCGCAGCTCTCACTCTCTGCTGAAGCCAGGAGAGTCTTGCTCTCCTGGCTTCAGGCGGCTATCCCTGAAGCATGGAGAGCGAGAGGGGTCGGTGCGCACTGACCCCTCTCGCTCTCCTGGCTTCAGCGAAAGCAACGCGAAACCTCTGGAGCGCGGAGGGAGCGCTCCCTCTGCGCTTCAGAGGCTTTGCGTTGCTATCGCTGAAGCCAAGGAGACTGCATTCGCTCCATAGGATGCACACACATTTCCCCTTCATTTCTGGAGGGGGGAAAGTGCGTCCTATAGAGCGAAAAATACGGTGCATCTTCTTGCATAAGGTGGGGAACCTGATTGTCACCGAGCCCACTGCCCACTGCAATCCCCCACGCCGACAGAGTTGCTGCAGAGTTGGGGCAGTCCACCGTGAAGGTGTTTTGATTTGCACAACTGCTCACGGAACAGATGTGAAGATTCTCTCTTTTTTGTCCCTCCACGCCCAACCCCTTCCATTCCTTTCTTGAGGGGAGAGGAGAAAAACAGAGCGTGGATGGCTGCACAGCTTGAGGAGACCTACTGCTCTTGTTAATCCCGTCTCCCCTCTTGCTCTTAAAACTGTTTTCGGAGGAAGGTGTGTGAAGGAGGAACAAGGTAGCCGCAGCTGAAGTTCTAGCTCAAGTCCAAAACTCATTACTTATCAGGTCTTCCTAGGACAATGTGAAGAAGAAGAAGAGTTTGGATTTGATATCCCGCTTTATCACTACCCGAAGGAGTCTCAAAGCGGCTAACATTCTCCTTTCCCTTCCTCCCCCACAACAAACACTCTGTGAGGTGAGTGAGGCTGAGAAACTTCAGAGAAGTGTGACTGGCCCAAGGTCACCCAGCAGCTGCATGTGGAGGAGCAGGGGAAGCAAACCCGGTTCACCAGATTACGAGTCCACCACTCTTAACCACTACACCACACTGGATAGAACAACTGACCACCTACTGACCTCATTTGGGAACTACAATTGTGTAGGTCTGCTGTTTTTATTTTTAAGAAACAATTTTTTCACTTCTGGAGTTCTGGACTTTTGAATCCATTAAAGCCACTCAAACTTTCCTTCGTTTGCGGCATGACTTTCTGGATATTAATTTGGTATAGAGAGAGAAATAAGACTGCCAAGTAAATGTGAAACAGAAAACTATAAGGATTAAGCAAAACATATTTTCCTTCTTACAGTGATTCTGGATCAGGATCAATAAACGGCGTAGCACCAAATGGATCAATGTTGGCTAGTAACATTTTGCTGATAATAGAACTCCCGGCAATAGAAGCCGCCAGACCTGCTCTTAGACCTGATGGGAAAACAGGGAAATGCATGTTACAATTAGCCAATACTAATTCAGTTTTATCTTAGCTATTAGAAATCATTTTGAGGGAGGACGAGAAGTGGGTAGCTAAAACATTACCCTGAAAAGCATTTCACTCATTCTAAAAGTGGAAATATTTCGTATGAGGTTGTTTTAGTTTTGAATGTTTTTCAGGGTGTCCATTTTTCTACTGGAAATAAAAGGACCTGGGGAGAAATGGGATCCGTGGAAGATGGGAAGCAGCAAAACTATACCAACCCCCCGCTATTTTTCCATCCTCAACCTCTCTGGGCCATCATTTCAGAGTTTCCTTTCTGCAGGGGGTTGGACTAGATGGCCTTTGGGTCCCTTCCAACTCTACAGTTCTTTGATTCTATTATTTTAAGACTCCAGGCGAACTCCATATCTTAAAGTCATAGCTTGAAGTCTCAGGCTTGAGCAATGTGTAAAGGTAAAGGGACCCCTGACCATTAGGACCAGTCGTGACCGACTCTGGGGTTGCGGCACTCATCTTGCTTTACTGGCCAAGGGAGCCGGCGTACAGCTTCCGGGTCATGTGGCCAGCATGACTAAGCCGCTTCTGGAGAACCAGAGCAGCGCACAGAAACGCCGTTTTACCTTCCCACTGGAGTGGTACCTATTGATCTACTTGCACTTTGACGTGCTTTCGAACTGCTAGGTTGGCAGGAGCAGGGACCGACCAACGGGAGCTCACCCCGTCGCGGGGATTCGAACCACCAACCTTCTGATCGGCAAGTCCTAGGCTCTGTGGTTTAACCCACAGCGCCACCCGCGTCCCTGAGCAATGTGTAAGCTCTTTTAAAAACGGGAGAAAGATGTTAACAACCAAGCTTCATTTGACAGGTCCTTAGAAAAACTACACTAGTATATTTTTGGAAACTCGAGGCAATGGACTAGAGAATTTTAAAATCCTTGTTACCTGGGCAAATTATCCTCGTGTTCAGTACTGGAAGGTTTTCTTTGCTGGCTGTGCAGGTTGTTGCTGAAAAAGAACTTTCATGTGAAGGAATGCGACTTCTCCGTCCAACTGGAGATTTGGGGGCAGTTTTAACTATTCAGAGAGACAGAAATATATACACATATCCCTAAGTAGAAATAAATCGAGTTTTTTACCTATAAAACGAATAAATAAGCCACACGTGTACGTTTTCTTTATTCGAAAAAGTCTCCGCCTGTGATTTATTAGTTTGCTTGTTTATTGTGGAGCAGCCGCCCTTGGCGATATATTTTTGCATTTGGCTTTTATATCACTGCCCTGTTTATTGTTTGTTGAGGTTTAAATAAATGGGCAGTGGGGGAAAGGCAGGAAGGAAAGCAAGGGGGGGAATAGCAATTGGTTTATCCCGCTGAAGGTCCCAGATGGAAAGAGCCTGAGCGAAGGAGATCCTCTATTAAGGTAAAGGGACCCCTGACCATTAGGTCCAGTCATGGCCAACTCTGGGGTTGCGGTGCTCATCTCGCTTTATTGGCCGAGGGAGCCGGCGTACAGCTTCCAGGTCATGTGGCCAGCATGACTAAGCCGCTTCTGGCGAACCAGAGCAGCACACGGAAACGCCGTTTACCTTCCCGCCGGAGCGGTACCTATTTATCTACTTGCATTTTGACGTGCTTTCGAACTGCTAGGTTGGCAGGAGCAGGGACCGAGCAACGGGAGCTCACCCTGTCGCAGGGATTCAAACCGCCGACCTTCTGATCGGCAAGTCCTAGGCTCTGTGGTTTAACCCACAACGCCACCCGCGTCCCTAGATCTTCTATACGAGGCCCTAGAGTCTCGGGGGTTCCTTCAAGAAGATTCATGCACATACTTGGGCTAAGATAAAAGAGGAGTGGGAACTCCACAGAGAAATAACAAGCTTGGACATAACTATGGAAGTATGAGCTTCTCTCCCTGTGTAAGCCTTACTGAAAAAGAGTCTTTGCAGACTTATTTAGAATCCTTAAGCAATGGCTACTTTTTTGGCTACTGACCTGGGTGAGCTTCAGATTCCTTTGTATCTTCTTCTTTGGATTCATCCAATTCCTTACTATACTTCACCGACGACTGATTTATCTGCACCTCCGAATGGGCATTCTGCTCATCTACAACTACAAGAGCAGGCAAGTACGTGTCCGTGTTATTATTCAAATTTCTGAAATCTATCGTGTATCACTAAATAAGAGTTAACTATGCAAGTAAAAAATAAAAAGGAAATGTACTGCTAGACTCCCAATAATATCTCCTGAACGTTAAGGTGGATTTACACATTTGGTTTTTACTGGAAAACACTATGGGAAATTTGTGCATTCTTTTCATGTGCATTTACTATTAGTCATACCCCGGGTTGAATTTGCTTCAGGTTGAGCGCGTTGCACTCCGCGGCAACCTGGAAGTAACGGAGCGCGCTACTTCCGGGTTTCACCGCTCGCGCATGCGCAAACACTCAAAATGAAGTCATGTGCATGCACAGAGGCGGCGAATCGTGACCCGTGCACGCGCAGATGCGCCGCCGCATCTTACATTCAGTTCAGGATGCGAATGGGGCTCCGGAACGGATCCCATACGCATCCTGAGATACCACTGTATTATTGTACTCCCTCTCGGTAAAAGAGACATAAGCAAAGCACTATTAAATTTTCAGAAGGTATCTGCAATAGTTTCCCACCAATGTTTCTGCATCTGGACTGACACCACCCTCTCAAACACCTTTTCCAAAGAAGAGGCATTTGTGGCTAAATAGTAGTTTGCTATCCACCTGAGACCTGAGTAAAAAGGTAAAGGTACCCCTGCCCGTACGGGCCAGTCTTGACAGACTCTAGGGTTGTGCGCCCATCTCACTCAAGAGGCTGAGGGCCAGCGCTGTCCGAAGACACTTCCGGGTCACGTGGCCAGCGTGACAAGCTGCATCTGGCGAGCCAGCGCAGCACACGAAACGCCGTTTACCTTCCCGCTGGTAAGCGGTCCCTATTTATCTACTTGCACCCGAAGGTGCTTTCGAACTGCTAGGTTGGCAGGCGCTGGGACCGAACAACGGGAGCGCACCCCGTCGCAGGGATTCGAACCGCCGACCTTTCGATCGGCAAGTCCTAGGCGCTGAGGCTTTAACCCACAGCGCCACCTGCGTCCCTTGAGACCTGAGTACTCCCTCCTCATTCTGTTTGATACTTTATTCATGTTATAAGTGCCACAACAAAAAATCAAACATACAGTAGTACCTCAGGTTAAGTACTTAATCCGTTCCGGAGGTCCGTACTTAACCTGAAACTGTTCTTAACCTGAAGCACCACTTTAGCTAATGGGGCCTCCTGCTGCTGCCGTGTCGCCGGAGCACGATTTCTGTTCTCATCCTGAAGCAAAGTTCTTAAGCTGAAGCACTATTTCTGGGTTAGCGGAGTCTGTAACCTGAAGCGTATGTAACCTGAAGCGTATGTAACCTGAGGTACCACTGTACAAGTAGTTAGTGTTGTAGTAAGTGGGATTTTTTAAAAGAAAAATGAACCAGAAAGTGTCACAAGTAAAGTTAATAAGCAAGATTGTCTTCCAGAAGCACACCTTTTTCTGCTTGCTCAATAATTTGCCTGAGAGCCTTCTTCAGACTATTTGCTCTGAGCATGAGCTGTTCTCGTGGCTTGAAGATCTGGTGTGGGACAGACGTTCTGTTGCTCTCTGTCAGCGGCTCCTTGGCATCGGACAGAGACTCTTCGCTTGATGACTCTTCGGCTGCTTCCTCTGCAATGGGGGAAGTGCTTCGCGGCAACACAGGGGCAACCTGGGCTTCAGAATGAAGGGCCTGAAGCAACAGGTTGAGCTTCTCGTTCAGCTCTGAACACTAACAACGTCACAGACAAACAGAAAGAAATATACACAAAAAAGAAATGCGCATTCATACATAAGGCTAAACAAACACTAAATAATTGTTTTGACAATAAAGCAGCCCACCAGCTCCCTGACAAATGTCAATGATTTTACTACGGTTTTCTCATTTTTAAAGCAATGTTTTTTGTTTTGTTTTAATAATATTTTATTGGTTTTCCAAAAGTAAGAAAAATAAGAAAACAACAACAATACAAAAACAAAACAAAACAAATTGACTTCCCTCTGATCCCTTCCCTGGTTCCATTATTTGTCAACATGCTGCATGTCCATTGTTAAATTTATAACATATTTAAACCACCTATTAGCCATTCATTGTAAAATCACAAGTAAACTTAAAACCCTGCTAATGTATTAACCTGTGTACATTGCTTCTGTATATATGCAATAAACACCTTCCATTATTCATTAAATTCATTGTCATCTCTTCCTCTTAATTTTATAATCAATTTTGCCATTTCAGCATAGTCCATTACCTTGCCAATCTTGTTTGGGTGGAACACCTCAAAGCAATGTTTTTTGGAAGCAACATCGCTGGCTTCTGCAACATCACTGAGCGAACCACCGCCATTTTGAATTGGTTGGAGTGGTCCAGAAAGAGGGCTCCGACTCCAAGATGTTTCCTGACCAATGGTGAAGCATCAGAGCTTCTCAGAGGACACTGACCAGCCGTCAATGGTGGCTGCAGGAGCCACTGATGAAACCCTCCAGGAACCCAACTATCTAGAGTCAGGGGGTGTGAAAATACAGTTATGCGGGAGCCACCCCTGAAACCATAGTCACCCAGTGTGGGTAGGACTGTGTGTGTGTGTGTGTGGAACCCTGTATGTGTGGACACTGTTTATGCTGTGTATGTGTGTTTCTGTGTAGGTCTCTGTGTGTGCGTACATCCGTTGTGGTATGAGTGCTGCCGTAAGGCCCTCAGAGAGCTGACCCAACGGTCAATGCATCCTTTAGGCTCGAAAAGGCCACCCCTGGTTTAAAGGAAGGTTCTCCTGTTACAAAACCTTCTCACACGAGTGAGATTTGGGTCTTCATGTTTGCAGGCCTGTAACAGTGTCCCCGCCCTGCCCTACCTTGACCGCCGCACCAGTTTTATTAGAGACGAGCACTGGAAAATTGGTGTGGCACTCATTACTTAAGTCTGAATGATTCATGGCGGCCACCTCCATTGGGAAGTGCCCTGCCTTGCTGGGCAGCAAGCGGGGCTTCTGTTAGGAGAGAAGCCTAGGTCTAGACTACACAGCCGTTTGGTCCTCAGGCTCTCCCATCCAGCAGATTAACGTTTCCGCTTCTCTGTCACTGCCCAAAGAGTAACCAAGTGTCCCCTTAGGTGGCATGGCTTCTCCTGCCCCACACAACTGGTCCCTCCATATGGGGACTTTGCTAAGTCATGCAAAAGGCTGCCTACTAGGAGCTTTGATATTTCCTGCTCTCTTTCCCTTCATAAATTTTCTGTCATGAAGAATATGGATCTCAAGACATTGTTGTTGCTGTTCTTGCATTCTAGGAGGCCAAAGCCAGGGCACAGACATAATAAACTGTACAACATTAAAGCTATTCATTAAAGCTATTTTAGAACTTGGGGTAAAAATGTTTACTCTGCCTTCTGAATGAACTTAGGAAAACCAAAAGTAAAACAAATTTAAAATACAATACAGATTTAACCAATTCTTGACTTCACACAAGAGTTCACTAAAAAGTGTTTTACTAAAATCGTTTTGAGAATTCATACAAAGAAGCAAATCTTAACACTGGGAAATTTCTAACACGGATACATTTGAAGTGAGGGTTTTTTTATGGAAGGAAAGCTTAATTCTTACTTTAATGGCCATAGCATCAGCTTCTGTGTTCTCCATGGGTCTGTCACAGCTCTTTCCTATTTTAGCCACAAAGCCTTTTACAGTTTCACACAATATCCTTTTATGAAAGAGACAGAAACGCCAAGGCAAAGAGAAAGGGAAGGGGTGATGTTGGAATATCAATTCTGTTTGAGGCAGTAATATAGTTTCACTGTTCCCAATGAACATCCATTTAGAGCCTAACAGCCATGCACTTTCTATCACACAAGCAACAGCCCTGAGATTTCACAGCCCATGCGCATCTGGGTTCATGCTCCCTTATCTGCCTGCCATATTTCTTGCGGCCGGACCCCTTGTGGTGGGGAGCCAGGGAGAGGAGTGAAGGGGTTCCTTTGTCTTCACAAGGACACCACCCAAGAATGAGCAAAGGGAAGACTCCAGACCACTGCCACCTTCTCAAATGCCCCTTCTCACTGCACAGTGGCAGCATGAGACTTAGGGGCAGTGTGTGTGTGTGTGTGTGTGTGTGTGTGTGGAAGAGAATACAGAAAAGGTGAAACTCAAGATCGGTAAGTGATGCTGGAACCACAACTGTACACAACTGAAGCCTAAGGAATCCTCTTTGGGGCATATAGGTAAAGGTAAAGGGACCCCTGACCATTAGGTCCAGTCGTGGCCGACTGGGGTTGCGACGCTCATCTCGTTTTATTGGCCGAGGGAGCCGGGGTACAACTTCTGGGTCGTGTGGCCAGCATAGAATCATAGAATCATAGAGTTGGAATAGACCACAAGGGCCATCGAGTCCAACCCCCTGCCAGCATGACTAAGCCACTTCTGGCGAACAAGAGCAGCGCTGTTTACCTTCCCGCCAGAGTGGTACCTATTTATCTACTTGCACTTTGATGTGCTTTCGAACTGCTAGGTTGGCAGGAGCAGGGACCGAGCAACGGGAGCTCACCCAGTCGCGGGGATTCCAACCGCCGACCTTCTGATCAGCAAGTCCTAGGCTCTGTGGTTTAACCCACAGTTCTAACGAGCCTGACATTCTTTTGTCAGCCAAGGTTCATCACAGCTTGTTGTGATGCACTGTTGTACAAGCACTCTGCCACAAGCAGAAATCACAATTCCACATCCACCCTGAAGCATCGCTGAGCCATAACTTTGCTCTCGTGCCTGCAGCATGTAACATCTGAATCAGGCAAGAGTCCAAATTTGAGTGTGCAAGTAAACATTCATGCTTGCATGCATATTAAAAAAGATGTAACACAAAACTGCTCTACGTTATATTGTGACGTGCACGTGTTTTTTTTAACTTACTTGGCCGATGATATGACAACAGAGTGCTGATCAGAATCAAGGATCTTAGCCAGGTGAGCAGCAACTGAATCTTCGTACATAGACATCTAAAAATTAAGAAATAATTATTCATGTTCTACCTGTGATTGTGCTAAAGTAAAAAAACAAATCTCACACAGGCACATCCCTTTCTGCATCCATCAAAGCTGACTTCTATACAGTAATGCTAGATGTATCAGCGGTTATTGATTTTCTTAGCCTAAGAACGCTCTCAGTCTTAACTCCAACATAAAATGGTGAACTAGGAAAAATTATAATAGATCGGTTTTAAAAAATATGAAAGCCACAATCTAGTGAGGCATGGGCAAAGGAAGAATTCAATGTCACACCCTCTGATGATTCTGTCAGCACCAAGTGTTCCTGCCTGTCTGATGAAGTTTCTACCATGCTGAGAAAAGCTAATCTCAGTTTGAGGTATTAGCACTTCTTATTTTAATACTGTTCTATTAATATACAGAACAATGTAATAGATCAATTTTATGATTATAGTATGATCACCTAAGACTATTCCATAGATTCATAGATGAAACCCCATAGAGCTGTGTAAATAAAAAATGAAATCAGAGATATTCAGAGAGAGGGAGAATTTAATTCCAAACCTGCCTGTATTTATGCAATTGTTTGTTTGTTTGTTTGTTTGTTTGTTTGTTTGAAATGATTTAATCAGTCAAACTATTGAGCAACTGAGGATTATGGGAAGTCTTCAGATTACAGTCCGATTCTAATACTTGGTTGTATTGTAGACTTTCTCAAAATGAACTGACAGAAACTTCAAATAAGCAGCCTTTGTTTTTGCAACAAATGTAAAGCCGGCATTGTATAGGTAGTGGTTAGACCAGGGGTGGCAAGGTTTACCTCGCCTGGGCCGGTTCACTCCAGCGGAGATCCCTCCGTGGGCCAGATCACACGCACGCACATGAGCACGCATGGCTGTGATTTCTGGCGTCTGTGCAGACTCGATTTTCGATATCTGCGTCTGCACAGGTGCGGTTTTTGGCATCTGAGCATGCGCAGACGTGATTCCCGGCACTGCCGAAGTGAGTCCCTGCACCGCGCTGCACCGGTTTAGCGCAGCGCGCGGGGACTCGCCATGTTACACCAATGTAATTTTTAAACAAAACTCTATTGAAATAAGCTGCAACATACGAGCCTGACCTCAAGCTTCAGCTGAAGGGTTTTTACCACCATCCTAGTTTCTTTTATGCAATCCTTTGCAGACTTATCTGAAATTAAGCCCTGGTGAAAGCAATGGGATTTTACTTCTGAGTAGATATACCTAGGATAGCTTTAATTATATTTCATTTTTTCCAGCTCTACAATTTAATCACATCCCAAAACCTATATTCACCTGACATTCCTCAGACTCCTCTTCCGGTGTAACAGGAAGAATGGACTGCTTTGATGGCAGTTTCAATTCGTAAGACATTATGCTCCACCTGAAAAAAGTGCCATATATCCAGGTGATCAAACAACATGCAAAGGACCAATTTTGCACAGCAAAATCAATTCGTGTTCGCATTGGAAGAAGAAGAAATAGTCACTCAAAGGTAATTCAACCCTTATGAACAGGGCCGGATTTAGGTTTGATGAGGCCCAAAGCTACTGAAGGTAATGGGGTCCTTTGTCAACAGCAAGTTTGCCACCGTTTTTTGTGTTGAATATATGCTATATGGAAATTTATGGACCTAACAGGTATCTAAAGCCATTTGGCCATGCAGAATGTAGGCACTCTATATATAGAAATGAGCAAATCAGTGATATTTTAGGGAGCAGGCTAGCAGGCGGGGCCCATTATTTACATTCATAGGAGCCTACACAACACAAGACACTGTTGCTGTATGTAGGTTTTATTTTATTTGTTTTTTATCTTATATTTTGGAAATGTACATCCAGGTTTTTTCCCTTTAATTTTTTGGGGGGCCCCAAGAGAGTGGGGCCCTAAGCTATAGCTTGTTTAGCTTATATGTAAATCCGGCACTGCTTATGAATAAAATTAATTGAGGTGGGGGAGAGGAAAGAAATGCTTACTTACCTGTCTAACATTTTGGTGCTAGCTCGTTCCAACTTCTCCAAAATTTGAGGAAGCTGTGTGTCATCATCACAAGACCCTCCCCAGCCAAGGACACGGGCAAGGTCATTTCCTGTACCCAGGGGTAGCACTCCCAAGTGACACTAAACGAAATAAGAAATATTCTGTTTAAAGTCAACTTACAGGCCTATATTTGTGGGGTTTTGTTTTTCTTCACTTTTGTTTTATTTTCTAGTTTCTTAAAAACCCACCTCACTCTTTCTTTCCTCCTCAATAAGAAGAAACTGATACTCGCCTGTTTGTGTAAGTTGAGTTTATCAATTTCAGACAATACCCAGCCAACACTTCCATCTCCTCCACACACTAGGATTCGGAAATTGTCAAACTTCTGAAATAATCGTAGACTGAAAGAGAATGCATTGTCTGTGTTCAAATCCACAAGGAGATACAATAAAAACATTCACAACAATGACAGTGTTAGCTGTTGACAGTAAATTATGCAGATTTTCAGAAGAGGGGAACAGCCAAGAGCGCCAAAGACTAAGTATTTGTTATTAACACAAGTTTTCATGGACTCAAGCCCACAAAAGCTGCCATTACAAATCTGTTTGTCTTCAATTGATTTTCCTGCAATCGTGTCTATCCTTCTGGAAATTTTATGGGAAATAACTTGTTGCTTTAAAAAAATAATTCAGGTGGCAAAAACTGATTGCTTCCCCTTTTTCAAAGTTCTGGCATTTAGCAGAAACTGCTAAATAACAGATCCAAACCAACAGTTTTTGGTCTACAAGTACTAACCAAATATGGTGGTGGCATTATTGCAATGAAAGTGAGGTCTGCTCCAAGGCCAAACCCCTCAAAATAGGATTCCTGTTCCTGGATGGTGGCTAATGGATTGAGGTTGAATCCTGACAAGACAGAAGTACTGTTTTTGGGGGAAAGGGGGCGGGCTGGTGTGGAGGACTCCCTGGTCCTGAATGGGGTAACTGTGCCCCTGAAGGACCAGGTGCGCAGCCTGGGAGTCATTTTGGACTCACAGCTGTCCATGGAGGCGCAGGTCAATTCTGTATCCAGGGCAGCTGTCTACCAACTCCACCTGGCATGGTGAACTCTAGCAGAATAAAGTTTGATTTAAATGCACCAATTTTGCAATGACCTTGTCCAGGAATAACAGTGGGTGGAAAGCAAGACTCCTTACCCTAGATGAGGCCCTCCATTCATTAAATCAAACACCTGAGCTGGATTTAGCGACTGCTTGAATCGTCGGAGAAATTTTACACCCTGATTGTCTCCGCTCTTTGAATTGACAAAAACCAACAGAGGACTGGCACAAGATGGTGGGCAGGTGGCTTTCCAGAATCCTGTAAACAAAGGAAGGAATAAAATGACGTAAATAGGGTTGAAGGAACCAAGTGACTCCCATTCTTCCAACAGGATCACTAATTACTGCTTTAGCGGACAAAACAAACACAATATCCACTCTAAAAAGCAAATTCTCACTTAGCTCCAACTTTGAAAAGGTCTAATTGTCCCCATACTAATTAAAGACAATAGGAGGGTTGGAAATTAGCTGATTAAAGGGTAAGTGCACAAGTGAAAGCCACAAGTGAGACAGAAGTAAATTGTTGTTGTTGTTGTTTAGTCGTTTAGTCGTGTCCGACTCTTCGTGACCCCATGGACCAGAGCACGCCAGGCACCTCTGTCCTCCACTACCTCCCGCAGTTTGGTCAAACTCATGCTGGCAGCCTCAAGAGCACTGTCCAACCATCTCGTCCTCTGTTGTCCCCTTCTCCTTGTGCCCTCCATCTTTCCCAGCATCAGTGTCTTCTCCAGGGAGTCTTCTCTTCTCATGAGGTGGCCAAAGTATTGGAGCCTCAGCTTCACGATCTGTCCTTCCAGTGAGCACTCAGGGCTGATTTCCTTAAGAATGGATGCATTTGATCTTCTTGCAGTCCATGGGACTCTCAAGAGTCTTCTCCAGCACCATAATTCAAAAGCATCAATTCTTCGGCGATCAGCCTCAGAAGTAAATTACTCTACCACAAAGCATCTGAGAGGCAAGAGTGGGAACCTTTTGTTCTGTTATCTCTTGTCTCGAAGAAGAGCTTGCAGATTTGCTGTGGGTTCAGACAGTGGCAGAAGCATAGAGAAGTCAGGAGAGCCACTCCCTGGCACTCTCACTGTGCCACAGATGCCTCTAGACAACTGGTTTTGGACCTCTTTCGTTGAGCTGGGAGGATGTTCAAAAGTTGCCTCAGGAAGAAGCCAGCAAATGGCATGAGGCAATGCAGAAAGAGAACATCCTCGAAGAATTCAGGTTCACATTTTAGCTACAGTGCACATCATTTTTTTTAAAAAAAATTATTGTTTATTTAACATAATTGTTACAAAATATAAGCAAAATATTGCAAATACATACATACGTATTTAAAATAAACACATATACATGAAAAAAGGAACAAAAGAGAAAAAAGAGGAAAAGAAGAAAGAAGAAAAGAAGAAAGAAGGAAAGAAAGAAAAAGAAAGAGAAAAAAAGAAGAAAAGTTGGAAGAATTTCCCCCAAGTTTATTCTACAAATATCTCAATATGAAAATACTAATAAAACTTCATTGATTGACTTCCATCGCTTACACTGCACTTCCTATATACATTTTAAGCAAGATTGTATCTGGTGCACATCAGATTAAGACTAGAAAGGTGTTGTTGTTTTAAAAGAACTCCTTTTGTTGTTTTTAAATTCAGAAGTCATCTGGGTCATGACAAAAACTCACCAATGGGGGGGGGGGAGATTTTTATTTCTGGTTTCTTTCCAGTAAAAAGCAAAGGATGTTGGGAAACAAGTATAGCCATGCCAGCCTCTGGCAACTACTAAATAGCCGTTTTTGGCACCAAGAAGCAGCCAAAGAGATGGGGAAAACAGCCTTTGTTAACCTTCATTAAAGTTCCCAAAGATTGTGATTATCTAAATAGCTCCAGCAACCTGAGCAAAAAGCTCTTGTTAAATCATGCTAATGGACATTATTGCCATGAAAATCGCATTCAGGTCCCAATGGACATACAACACGCTCAGCTGTTCATGACTAAATTCCAAAATCCATTTAGAAGAAGAAGAAGAGTTTGGATTTGATATCCCGCCTTTCACTCCCCTTCAGGAGTCTCAAAGCGGCTAACAATCTCCTTTCCCTTCCTCCCCCACAACAAACACTCTGTGAGGTGAGTGGGGCTGAGAGACTTCCAGAAGTGTGACTGGCCCAAGGTCACCCAGCAGATGCATGTGGAGGAGCGGAGACGCGAACCCGGTTACCCAGATTACATGACTACCGCTCTTAACCACTACACCACACTGACTAAATCCAAGTGTATAATGGACCTATGAGATCCCAAGTGCTCATGAATCCTATTATACCCCCCCCCCAAATTATGACACTAAAAGGGTAAGGAATTATATATAATTCCGCTTGGTATTTGTGCATGTTCTGAAATGTGCCAATAGGCCGGCAGCCCTAATGATGGGAGTCATTTCCTTACAATATAATAATGGTGATATTTCTGCTAATTTAGCTATCAATTTCAAATTGTAATTACAAACAGAAAGTGAACATCTGCTGGCAACATCTGCATTGTGAAGCCTTCAAAATGTAATAGGTGATGCATATATTTGCAATGTACTACACAAAGTCCAATGACAGCCATCCCCCACTTATTCTTCAAGATTCAGCTAATCCACTAAAAGCACAGTCTACTCAGAATTAAACGCTATTGAGTTTATTCCCAAGTAAAATTGGAGGTCACTTAGACTACATGTCTGTGGGCAGGGTTGTGTTGCTTTTATTGTACTGTAGCGTTGAGCGCAAATTTTGGTTTGAAGCTCAACATCAAGAAAACGAAGATCGTGGCCACTGGTCCCATCACCTCCTGGCAAATAGAAGGGGAAGAAATGGAGGAAATGAGAGATTTTACTTTCTTGGGCTCCATGATCACTGCAGATGGTGACAGCAGCCACGAAATTAAAAGATGCCTGCTCCTTGGGAGGAAAGGCATGACAAACCTAGACAGCATCTTAAAAAGAAGAGACATCACCTTACCGACAAAGGTCCGTATAGTTAAAGCTATGGTTTTCCCAGTAGTGATGGATGGAAGTGAGAGCTGGACCATAAAGAAGGCTGATCCCTGAAGAATTGATGCTTTTGAATTATGGTGCTAGAGGAGACTCTTGAGAGTCCCATGGACTGCAAGAAGATCAAACCTATCCATTCTGAAGGAAATCAGCCCTGAGTGCTCACTGGAGGGGCAGATCCTGAAGCTGAGACTCCAACACTTTGGCCACCTCATGAGAAGAGAAGACTCCCTGGAAAAGACCCTGATGTTGGGAAAGATGGAGGGCACAAGGAGAAGGGGACGACAGAGGACGAGATGGCTGGATAGTGTTCTCGAAGCTACCAGCATGAGTTTGACTAAACTGTGGGAGGCAATGGAAGACAGAAGTGCCTGGCGTGCTCTGATCCATGGGGTCACGAAGAGTCGGACACGACTAAACGACTAAACAACAACAACAAGCGTTGAGTTTGTAAGAAGAAGAAGAAGAAGAAGAAGAAGAAGAGTTTGGATTTGATATCCCGCTTTATCACTACCCTAAGGAGTCTCAAAGCGACTAACATTCTCCTTTCCCTTCCTCCCCCACAACAAACACTCTGTGAGGTGAGTGGGGCTGAGAGACTTCAGAGAAGTGTGACTGGCCCAAGGTCACACAGCAGCTGAATGTGGAGGAGCGGAGACGCGAACCCAGTTCACCAGATTACGAGTCCACCGCTCTTAACCACTGCACCACACTGGCTCTCACACTGGCTCTAAGTGGTTAAGAAAGGATGGCTTGGACCCAGAGTAGGCTCTTCCAATTGCAGAATGATGTGCCCACTAAATAGAGAGGAAGAGAAATGATTTTCACGGATTCCTCTTTCCCCCTGAAGCTTCCTGTGCCATCTTCTCCAGTCGTCCAGAACAGACTGAGGGAATGAAAATGAAGCAGGCGGACTCCGTGAGAAATCAGCTCCCCACTCCATGAATGGGAGGTTTGAAAATGTTAGCAAATATTTAGATTTGCTGCTTGACCTGAAAGCCCGCCAGTTCTTCTCAGCTTAAAACACCTCCTAAATAAAAGAACACGAGTCACGATTACCCTTCGGGTCAATAAGTATTTCGCATGCACATCTCGTGAGGCAGCCCGGGGACTGAATAAATGAATGAATTGATTTATTACGGACACAGGGAGTAAAAAGAGGCAGCTGGCAGTTGCCACCTGAGGCAATCGCCCCACCTGAGAGCCAGTGTGGTGTAGTGGTTAAGAGCGGTAGTCTCGTAATCTGGGGAACCGGGTTCGATTCCCCGCTCCTCCACATGCAGCTGCTGGGTGACCTTGGGCTAGTCACGTTCTCTGAAGTCTCTCAGCCCCACTCACCTCACAGAGTGTTTGTTGTGGGGGAGGAGGGGAAAGGAGATTGTTAGCCGCTTTGAGACACCTTAAAGGGAGTGAAAGGCGGGATATCAAATCCAAACTCTTCTTCTTCTTCTTACCTCATGGTCCTGGCTAGATAGTCAGCATTTTCTTCTTAAGTCTGTATCTTTTGGTCTTCCCAAGCTGCTCTCTGGAGCAGATGGGGGTGGGCAGAGGAAACCAGCAAAAATCCTCCCCCTTCCTTAGCATGGAGTGCCCTTTCTGTGAGTAGAAACATACCAGTTGGGTCACTGGATCCAACTCACTGTCCTTTTTCGGTTCTTTTCCCTTTCTGTCTATGGACCAGAATGCGGCAGCTAGACTGGTGACTGGGAGCGGCTGCCAAGACCATATAACACCAGTCCTGAAAGACCTACATTGGCTCCTAGTATGTTTCCGAGCACAATTCAAGGCGTTGGTGCTGACCTTTAAAGCTCAAAACAGCCTCGGTCCAGTATACCTGAAGGAGCGTCTCCACCCCATCGTTCTGCCCAGACACTGAGGTCCAGCACCGAGGGCCTTCTGGCGGTTCCTTCACTGCGAGAAGTGAGGTTACAGGGAACCAGGCAGACGGCCTTCTCGGTAGTGGCGCCCACCCTGTGCAACACCCTCCCATCAGATGTCAAAGAGATAAACAACTACCTGACATTTAGAAGACATCTAAAGGCAGCCGTGTTTAGGGAAGTTTTTAATGTGTGACATTTTAATGTATTTTTAAATCTTTGTTGGAAGTCGCCCAGAGTGGCTGGGGAAACCCAGCCAGATGGGCGGGGTATAGATAGATAGATAGATAGATAGATAGATAGATAGATAGATAGATAGATAGATGATAGATGATAGATAGATGATAGATAGATAGATAGATAGATAGATAGATAGATAGATAGATAGATAGATAGATAGATAGATAGATGATAGATGATAGATGGATAGATAGATAGATAGATAGATAGATAGATAGATGATGATAGATGGATAGATAGATAGATAGATAGATAGATAGATAGATAGATAGATAGATGATAGATAGATAGATAGATGATAGATAGATAGATAGATGATAGATAGATAGATGATAGATAGATAGATGGATGATGATAGATAGATGATAGATAGATGGATGATGATAGATAGATAGATAGATAGATGATAGGTGATAGATGATAGATAGATAGATTAGATAGATGGATTATATAGATAGATAGATAGATAGATAGATAGATAGATAGATAGATAGATATAGATAGATGATAGATAGGACCTGAGTGCATAATTGGAAAGAGATCTCAAGAACTGCCCAGTTTTGCCAGGGCATTCCATGGTGGCTGGGTGAGATAGCAAAGCTGTATGCATGTCTGTTGACGGAGGACCTCAGCACCATTTTAATATTCTGTACTTGTGCTGAGCTAACACAAGGAGAAGAGTCCCTGGTCCTATTCGTAGACTTTATAAAATTGCAAATAGGCAGCACCATTCTCCCTCCGGTCCCAATCAGCACAACTGCCTTGTGCAAAGCCTTTACACTCAATCTTATTTGCAAAGCGTGTCACGAAGAAATATATTAAAGGACCTGCATACCATCAGAGTCTATGCTGTTCAGTGCTGTAGGTGGAATGATGGATACTTTGCACTGGCCAAGTGGACACTTGCGAGGAAACAAATCTCTGCATGCCGTGTGCACCTGTAGGGGGGGAAATGAACAAGCAATGGTCCGTCAATATACAGTGGTACCTCGCAAGACGAATGCCTCGCAAGACAAAAAACTCGCTAGACGAAAGGGTTTTTTGTTTTTTGAGCTGCTTCGCAAGACGATTTTCCCTATGGGCTTGCTTCGCAAGACGGAAACGTCTTGCAAGTTTGTTTCCTTTTTCTTAACACCGTTAATACAGCTGCGACTTGACTTCGAGGAGCATCTCATAGAATGCGGTGTGGTAGCCTTTTTTGAGGTTTTTAAAGACTTTGGTGATTTTTGAAGCTTTTCCAAAACCTTCCCGACACCGTGCTTCGCAAGACGAAAAAAATCGCAAGACGACAAAACTCGCGGAACGAATTAATTTCGTCTTGCGAGGCACCACTGTAGTACATACAGCCTTAATGTTATGGCAGCAAGCATACACCTGAGTATTGTAACAGAAACACTTATTTGTCAAGGAAAGATATAAAAATAAAGGTGTGCTCTATTCCCAAGTGACAAAGCCACACCAGGCCCGGATAATTTCTGGCCCATCAAGCCTTCCATGTATATATAGCAGTCCAGTCGGAGCATCATGAAAACTCAGTGCAAAAACAGATTGCTATCTAGTCACTGCTGGTCTGGAGTGGCCGTCTGTGCAGCATCACAGACGGGTTCTGCCCCTGCACAGAGGACCCTCTGGGAACATTTCTGAAGTCTAATTAGGGAGCCCTTGAGAAGAGCGCTGTCACTTACATGCCGGCCTGGAGGCGAGACTACAAATAACGCAGGCATTTTAAAACCAAGAAATACCTAGCATAAAAGGGCAAGTTGTAAAATATCAAATAATACAGGTGAAATGAGGAAGTTTTTAATGTTTGATGTTTTACTGGGTTTAATGTTTTGATTTGTTGGAAGCTGCCCAGAGTGGCTGGGCAGCTTACATATACCGTATTTTTTGCTCTATAAGACTCACTTTTTCCCTTCTAAAAAGTAAGGGGAAATGTGTGTGTGTCTTATGGAACGAATGCAGGCTGCGCAGCTATCCCAGAAGCCAGAACAGCAAGAGGGATCGCTGCTTTCACTGCGCAACGATCCCTCTTGCTGTTCTGGCTTCTGAGATTCAGAATATTTTTTTTCTTGTTTTCCTCCTCCAAAAACTAGGTGCGTCTTGTGGTCTGGTGCGTCTTATAGAGCGAAAAATATTGTAAGCAGTAAATTCTTCTTCTTCTTCTTTTTCTTCTTCTTCCTCTTCTTCTTCTACCTATTCAAACCATTGGGTAAATCTGGCTCAGGACTGTCTACATATAATGTAAGTGGCTTTCCAGGAGTCATTCCCACCCTAATTGGAGATGCCAAGGAATGACCCTTTTCACTCTCCCTGCTTGGCTAATTCATAGAAAAGAGTGAAGGTTGGCATCAAAGTGAGACCTTCCATGGAAACACTTGGTCTTCTTTCTTTGACTCTGCATCGAGCAAAAGACTGGTATCTTTCCTGAATAGCTGTATTGTTTATATATTCGGTTGGAAGCTGCCCAGAGTGACTGGGGAAATTGTTGTTGTTGTTGTCCAAAGAGAACGGGGGCTCCATGAATGCCTGCGGTATGCCAAGCCATTCCTACAGTTTTTATGTTCCGGGAAGAAGGCAAGAAGCAGCACAAGGACTTTCTAAAGTCAATTTTGGGAAGGAATGCAAAACGCGAGTGTTCCACCACCTAATCCTTGTGCATACATAAAAGGAGGTGGTGTATTGTGCCCCAGGGAATACACAGAACTCTATCCTGCGTGACATGTTTCTTAACATCTCCATGAAGCTGCTCGGATTAGTTATCTGGAGGTTTCGGCTGAAGCAGCTTGGCTACACAGATGACGCTGGCTCCTACTCGCTTCCATCAGATCCTAGGGAGAGGGTTGGGCGCTGAGAAAATGGATGCAGTGGAAGAAGCTAAACTTTGCAGATCTGTGGCTTCCACTGTGGTCAGAAGAGAACTGAGCCAAAAGGTGCCCCAATGGTCTACCCACATTCAGATAGTGAAGACTCTTCTCTGGAAGCGGATGGGTGAGGGCAGGACAAGTTCCTTAGTAAAATGCCTAAAGCAGTCTTTCCCAACTTGATCCCTGGAGGGCACCAAGTTGGGGGATACTGCTGTAGAGCCTTCCCAGGACACATTTTTGGCTTTAAGGGTTTTATATGCTGCTTATATGATGACAGTTTGTATTTATATTTTAACATCTTTCATTAAACATGTACAGTGGTACCTCGGGTTACATACGCTTCAGGTTACAGACTCTGCTAACCCAGAAATAGTACCTCAGGTTAAGAACTTTGCTTCAAGATGAGAACAGAAATTATGCTCTGGCGGTGTGGCGGCAGCAGGGGCCCCATTAGCTAAAGTGGTGCTTCAGGTTAAGAACAGTTTCAGGTTAAGAACGGACCTCCGGAACGAATTAAGTACTTAACCCGAGGTACCACTGTATACTGCTTTGTCTATCCATGGGCAGAAAAATGAGGTCAAAAGAATGAATCAAAATCACAGGACTGCACAGAAACTACAAAGAAAAAACAAATGGCCAATGGAATATGTTGACCTTTCTGTGTCACAAATTGCGCAGTTTGACGTGCAGTTTCTAAATAACAGCTTATTCTGATATTTTAAAAATATTCAGGGTTTCATTTTTGCTACTAAAATTTATTTGCCAATATGAGTCAGGAGTCCCTGGGGTAACTTTGTACGGCTTGTACGCCTCCTTCCAGCAGCCAAGCTGGTGTCAAACATCTTGTTCTGCTTTCCTTTGGACCCCATCAGCAAGGCTGAAAGGGGGGGGGTCTTGTCGTCTGGGCAGCCCAGGGTCTCCAGACACACTGCACAGGTTTGCGCCCAGGGGAAGTTACTTCGATACTGAGAACAGAGTGGTTTAGCTTCACCCTCCAGAGGCGAACTCCATTGTCTCTCGAAACAGACAAACGCAAACCAAAAATTATGAGAACATTCTAGGAGACTGTTTTGAGGGAAAGAGACCTGTACAATCTGAACTCACCATCGTTTTACACCAAAGGCACTTCCAATCTTGCAGTCGCAGGACGCTGCCACAGGTCTTGTCACAAACTGCACATTTGGCACTGACAGGAAGATTTCCTTCTAACCACTGGTGAGGCATAGCTACCTGCAGCGGAGTGTTTCAAAGGTCAAAACGGGGGCAACAGAGACAGGGAAATCAGCATGTCACCTTTCTTCCAAATTCACTACAGTCAAACCTTGGTTGCTGAATGTAATCCATTCCGGAAGCCCGTTTGACTTTCAAAATGTTCGACAACCAAGGCATGGCTTCTGAGTGGCTGAAGCTTCCTGCACTCAAGCAGAAGCCGCGTTCAGCTTCCGAAAAATGTTCGAAAACCGGAACACTTACTTCCGGGTTTTCGGCGTTTGGGAGTCAAAACGTTCCAAAATGAAGGCTTTCAGGAACTGAGGTTTGACTGTACCATATTTACTGCTTCCTCACCCACACAACCCATTTTGAAAACTATTGCGGTCATATCAAACTAAGTTGCACTCAAAATAGTCACAGAAATTAATGGATCTAAGTTAGCCATTATTTTCAATGGGTTTACTCTGAAGAAGACTTAACGCTGGATACAACCCCTGAGGTTCTGAACCAAAGAGATCTGAGTACATATATGCCGTGGTGCAGAAGGTTCCCCTTCCAGGCGCCTAATGAAATGCCTGTTTCACGGGGACACACACACACACACACCGAGTTTCAGAACTGGCTTTCTAGGGTCAGGGTGCTGTTGCTGGGAGGAGAGAAGTTGGCACAGCTGCGTCAACCCTTTTGGACAACTGCCATTATCAATACCGCCCCCCCCCCAACTACACTTCGCTGCCAGTGTAGCTTAACTTGTGTCAAGCACGCCAACAGAGAAGGTCGCTGGAGGAAGCGCTGAGGTGCGGGAACCTTGGCGCAGCACCCCCTGTTTCCCCAATCCCCCTTGGCAAGCAGCCCACGGTGTTGGGAAGTGAGGAGAGCAAAGCGTGTTCTCCTTCATGGAGAGCACGTGTTGCGGTGGGGGCCGCCAGGACACTCCAAAGTTGTGGGGCGGGCTAATTGACCGTTGGCCACTGATGCGATTGGGCTTCCCTTGTCGTTGGGAAGAAGTTAATGTTGCCATTTGTTGATTGACACCCAGAAATGCTAAAACTCCTTGCACGAGGCTAGGGCTTCCTCTTTTCGCCCGTGCATCGGATTGCCCGTCCCCCCTCCCTAGAATTAGGGTTGTTTGCATTGACCTTGCTATGCCTGTCATGGGGTCGTCTGCTCTTGGGGCAGGGGCCCGGTAGGAATTTTGTCCATCTGACTGATTGGCTGGTGCCATTTGGTTTTTGCCTACTGCGTAGCAAATCGTCACAACTTGTAAGGTTGCGGTTAGGCATTGGTTTATGGTTTGGTTGGTTGAGGGGCATGGATTGGCTGTGCCTGTCCCTCTAATGCTGCTGCTGCGAGGGATTCCGTTAAAGGAATCGGGGGCTAACTATTGCTTGTCCACCCTGTTAAGGGGGCTCGGGCCACTGCAAGAGCTCCTGGCTGCATTTGGGGAGGGCTGAGGGCAGGTTCCCTGCTCCGTTGCTACACCCAAGTATATTCCCCTATTCTGACTTTCGCAGGCGTGCGGAATGTCAGACTGTCCCCCACAGTGGGGGCAGCTAGTCACAACCAATGCCTAAGCAACCACTCACATGTTTGTATTTTAATAAAGTTGTGGTCAAAATTATGCCAAAAACCTTAAACAAAAATATTGGTGTGATGTGTGAGTTATTGGGGTGGCCCTGGGGACCTCAACACACAACAGAACCCCCCCAGAGGCAGCAGCTATATCGCAATACCCAAAGCAAGGGGCTGGCTTTCCTCTAGTGGACCACAGGTGAGATTACTTTGGGTGTTATGAGTTTCTTTGTGTAATAAGGCTTCAATCCAGCAGGATTAAATGTGCTAAAAAATATTTTCTCCCCCTAATGTAAACAGGATCCATAATCACTTAAAATTAGCATCGTCCTACCTACTAGCAAATGTTTCATTTTTCTACATAAAACCAAAGCATGTGCAGGGTACCGCCTGCATTTCTGAGAAATACTTACACCATCTTCATCCTCAATAATATCTTTTCCAACTGAAGTCAAAGTAGTCCATTTGCAACTGTTTATTGCTCTGACTGCACATCTCTTATGAGCCTTAAACTTGCACACTGGATGAAAAGACACACATAATCTTTGAATGATTCACATCATCTTTCAGAAGCTTAATCAAACACTTCATTACACAAATAAGTAAAGGTAAAGGGACCCCTGACCATTAGGTCCAGTCGTGACCGACTCTGGGGTTGCGGTGCTCATCTCGCTTTATTGGCCGAGGGAGCCAGCGTACAGCTTCCGGGTCATGTGGCCAGCATGACTGAGCCACTTCTGGCGAACCAGAGCAGCGCACGGAAACGCCGTTTACCTTCCCACCGCAATGGTACCTATTTATCTACTTGCACTGCTTTCGAACTGCTAGGTTGGCAGGAGCAGGGACCGAGCAACGGGAGCTCACCCCATCGCAGGGATTCGAACCGCCGACCTTCTGATCGGCAAGCCCTAGGCTCTGTGGTTTAACCCACAGCACCACCCCGCAATAGGTAGTGTTAAAAATGTAAATTGTTCGAAAGGTAACAGTTTAGTTCGAATCCTTCCCAGCAGTGCGCTGGAAGAGTGTTCATCTCACAATTTTTCCAACTCTACCAAACTACTGAGAGACTCACCCTGCAGGGTAATTTAGTTAGTTAGTTAGTTAGTTAGTTAGTTAGTTAGTTAGTTAGATTTATAGGCTACTTAATCAAAAGGCTCTCTAAGCAGTATGCAAATAAAACTGTACATAAAACAGAGCTAAAATCCACAAAACAATTTAAAAACTATCAAATATAAACTGTACAGCTGGGCAGGCTTATCAAAACAAAACAAAAAAAGTGTTCTGCAGGTGTATAAGACGACACAGCAAAGCTGCCTGCCTCATATCAGTTTATATACATAGCAGTCAAGGCAGTCCAAGTCCACTACCAGCAGACGTCTGTGGTATCTTGGTAGATAGGTGGTTAAAGGTAAGGTAAAGGTAAAGGACCCCTGGACGGTGAAGTCCAGTAAAAGGCGACTATGGGGTTGCAGCGCTCATCTCGCTTTTCAGCCTGAGGGAGCCAGCGTTTGTCCACAGACACCAGATCATGTGGCCAGCATGACTAAACCGCTTCTGGTGAGACGGAACACTGTGACGGAAGCCAGAGTGCACGGAAATGCTGTTTGCCTTCCCACCGCAGTGGTACCTATTTATCTACTTGCACTGGTGCGCTTTTGAACTGCTAGGTTGCCAGGAGCTGGGACAGAGCAACGGGAGCTCACCCTATCGTGGGGATTCGAACCACCAACCTTCTGATCGGCAAGCCCAAGAGGCTCAGTGGTTTAGACCACAGCGCCACCCACATCCCCATGGGTGGTTAGACACGACAGTAAGCATCCAAGAGAAAGTGGCGCCTTGCTTGCTTGCAGGAGTCCACTGTGGGAATTACCTGCTTCACAGCACAAGGGCTAATGTGGAGAGGCACGAGGCTATCCATGGAATCCCCCTAGGATATGGAAAAGCCTGGTTCTCCTGCCACAGTACTGCAACGCATAAGTAAAGGTAAAGGTACCCCTGCCCGTACGGGCCAGTCTTGACAGACTCTGGGCTTGTGCGCCCATCTCACTCAAGAGGCCAGGAGCCAGCGCTGTCCGAAGACACTTCCGGGTCACGTGGCCAGCGTGACAAAGCTGCATCTGGCGAGCCAGCGCAGCACACGGAAACGCCGTTTACCTTCCCGCCGGTAAGCGGTCCCTATTTATCTACTTGCACCCGGGAGTGCTTTCGAACTGCTAGGTTGGCAGGCGCTGGGACCGAGCAGCGGGAGCGCACCCCGCTCCGGGGATTCGAACCGCCGACCATGCAATCGGCAAGTCCTAGGCGCTGAGGTTTTACCCACAGCGCCACCCACGTCCCTTATACTGCAACGCATAGGCACTGGCAGAACTAGAAGAGACTGACAGAAGGACAGGAAGTTCCTGCTTTGAATGGGAAGCAAGGAATCTCCTGAACAGGATCAGGCCTGCCCATCTACTTCATGTTGCCAGCACTTAAAATGTATCCCAACCTTTATTCCAGTTTGCAAGTAAGTGGTTCCCACTTCACAGATGGAAAGCTGAGGCTTATGGACCGTGGTTTGTGAAAGCCATCTAAGGAAACCCATGGCTTATGGGATAATGGATGTAAACCCTTGCAGCAGTGTAGCTGCTGTTTATTATAATTAAATAACATTGCCTGCAAGCTTGTCACCATCCCAGAAACTTTGCGTTGGTAGTTCTCCAGGAACAGCTGCTCTCTCCAAATGCCTTGGTTGATTCCAAAAAAAAGCAAAAGCGCTAATCTGACAAGATCCACGTCCTGGGACTTGCAGTTTAACTTGTCAGACAGCGTAATAGCTGTCTTGTAGGATTACACAAAACCTGTTATTTTGTTTCTAAGAATACAAATATGCACAGCAGGGTTTAAACACACCCCCCCCCCAGAAGTAAATTAAAGATACTAGGAAATAAACTCTCATTTTGGATGGTAATAAAAATTCATACTGCAAGAGGGCCTTCTCGGTAGTGGCGCCCTCCCTGTGGAACGCCCTCCTTTCAGATGTCAAGGAAATAAACAATTATCTGACTTTTAGGAGACATCTGAAGGCAGCCCTTTTTAGGAAAGTTTTTGAAGATTGCTGTTTTCCTTATTTTTTTAAGATGTGTTGTAAGCCGCCCAGAGTGGCTGGGGAAACCAGCCAGATGGGCGGGGGTATAAATAATAAAATTAAATATATTATTAAACAGGGACGTACAGTGTTCCACTCTTTTTTCTACCTCAAATGCAGGACCCTTGAGGCATGTAGGAGGGGGTAGGAGGCCCTTCAGGAAAATCTGGTGATTAAGGTTTGGTGAGCACCTTTCAGTGTGATGAGTGCAGTCCAGAGAATCATAGAATCATAGAGTTGGAAGAGACCACAAGGGCCATCGAGTCCAACCCCCTGCCAAGCAGGAAACACCATCAGAGCACTCCTGACATATGGTTGTCAAGCCTCTGCTTAAAGACCTCCAAAGAAGGAGACTCCACCACACTCCTTGGCAGCCAATTCCACTGTCAAACAGCTCTGTCAGGAACTTCTTCCTAATGTTTAGGTGGAATCTTCTTTCTTGTAGTTTGGATCCATTGCTCCGTGTCCGCTTCTCTGGAGCAGCAGAAAACAACCTTTCTCCCTCCTCTATATGACATCCTTTTATAAATTTGAACATGGCTATCATATCACTCCTTAACCTCCTCTTCTCCAGAGACTTGCCTTCAGGGCTATGTAGGGCAATGTAGGGGGCAGCTTTGAAGCCAACCTGTTAGATCAACCAGAGTTGTGGGGCCCTGGGAGGGGATGAAGCTGGGAGGACTCTCTAGTCACCTGAAACAGGAGGGCCTGAGGAAAGGGGTATCTGGAATCGGGTGGATGTCCATGGCTGGTTATGATCAGTTACCGTATTTTTCGCCCTATAGGACGCACTTTTCCCCCTCCAAAAATGAAGGGAAAATGTGTGTGCATCCTATGGGGCGAATGCAGGCTTTCGCTGAAGCCTGGAGAGCGAGAGGGGTCGGTGCGCACCGACCCCTCTCGCTCTCCAGGCTTCAGGAGAGCCCCAGCGCCAGCCCCACAAGGTCGGGGGACAGAGGGAGGCGGAACGCCGCCATCCCGCTGTGTCCCGATGTGGTTTGGAGGCTGACGGCGGGGAGACCCCGCCGCCAGCCCTGCAAGCTCCGGGGACAGTGGGGAGACGCAGCGCGTCTTCCTGCTGTCCCCGGACCTGATCTCAAGGTGGGCGGCAGGGAGAACAGCGCTTCTCCCCGCTGCCTGCCCCACAAGCTCCGGGGACAGCGGGGAGACGCAGCGTGTCTTCCTGCTGTCCCCGGACCTGATCTCAAGGCAGGCGGCGGGGAGAAGAGCACTTCTCCCCGCTGCCGGCCCCACAAGCGCCTGGGGGGAAATAATTTTTTTTTCTTTATTTCCCCCCCAAAAAAACTTGATGCGTCCTATGGGCCGGTGCATCCTATGGGGCGAAAAATACGGTAATATCTCACACCCTGGTTCTCTACGGTGGATCTGCTCCATTAAATTAACAAATGTGACCCAGCTTCCTCAGCCTTGTGTCTTGCGTCCTTATTTCCCAGTGTGTGTTGCAAACGGCTGTCTTCACAGAAACCCAACTTTGCAAGCTCCTGATCGTGTGCAGAATTCCTACATGTGAGTAGCAACTCACACATTTGGGTCGATCTACAAACAACCAAATGCAACGCACTGCTGCTGCTAGATGACAACGTGGAGTGACGGATGTGGCTAAAAGTTCAGCTCTATATCGCCAACACAAGAGCTAAACAATACAGTATCTAGACATGGGATGGGGGGGAACAAAACCGCCTTGTTATTTTCCTAGGAAATGAATTTCCTAAAAGAAGGCATTTGTGGCAGGCAGGGCCAACGTGGCCAGGCTAACAATGAAGGAAACAAGGGTAACAAGAATCCTGAAAGGTTCTTTTCAGGAACCCCTACATTTTAAAGGCAAAAAACATTGCAGGGGGTCAGACTAAATGATTTTACGATGTTCACTGAAGCTCAATAGCGAATCATTACTTAGCTTAATAGGGACGCAGGTGGCACTGTGGTGTAAACCACAGAGCCTAGGACTTGCCGATCAGAAGGTCGGCAGTTCGAATCCCCGCGACGGGGTGAGCTCCTATTGCTTGGTCCCTGCTCCTGCCAACCTAGTAGTTTGAAAGCAAGTCAAAGTGCAAGTAGATAAATAGGTACCACTCTGGCGGGAAGGTAAACGGTGTTTCCGTGCGCTGCTCTGGTTCGCCAGAAGCGGCTTAGTCATGCTGGCCACATGACCTGGAAGCTGTACGCCGGCTCCCTCGGTCAATAAAGCAAGATGAGCGCAGCAACCCCAGAGTCGGCCACGACTGGACCTAATGGTCAGGGGTCCCTTTACCTTTACTTAGCTTAATATGATATACATTCTTCTACTGCATGTCACCACTTAATTATGTGATAATACAAAATGGGGGGTGGGGGCTGCCGCCGCCTTTACCTTCACAGGATAGGCCATGAGAAGTAACTCCAGAAAGGCTCTCTCTGCAGACGTTGCAGAAGGTGGGTCGAGCGTGGGAACAGGCGTACCAGTTATGCATCCCTGAGAAATGTTCCATATTAAACTGGGCAGCCTAATAAAGGAGAAGTTAAGAGAGATTTGCAGCAACAGGACATCACTACAGCAGCAGCTAAAACCACCTGACGTGTGAAAAAATCACCTTCCAAAAAGAATACTCCCCAGGCTCTTTAAACAAAAGTAACATGAACTATATGGCTATATCAGGCTTAACCAACTCTCTATTTTAGTTTCATGGATTTTTCACACCGCATCAGGGACATACACCTTTTCTTCCCCGTTTACTGCATCTTGAAAAACCGGCAATATTTCAGTTTTTAAAGCGCAAGACGCGCAGCATTCCTCTTACCTCATAATGTTCCCGGGACTGTACGGACTTCAGAGAGCTGATCCAATCCTCCATCTCTTTTCTGTTCTCTGCACACAATATTAATCTCCTGAATGGTGTGATTACCTGGGGGGGGGGGTAAAGATCACTTAATATGATGACTCCGAATTGCTATAAGGAGGACAAGGTAACAAAGAACACATAAAAGGCAAGATCTCATAATTCTTGTAAATACTGATCACCTTAATAAATTCCAAAGACAAAAAGTTTGTTATCAGTTGTAAATGTTTTCCTGTGTAATTCACGAGAGAGAGATTCTTGTTTATTTCTAGTAGGAAATTCAGATTCATCGCCCTTCTGAGAACAGCAAGCCTAGGTTGTAAGGATACTTAACATATTTTATATTCCAGTGTTCAGTATGACGCTGCATTTATATTACTTTGCAATCAAAATAAGATATGTGTGCATAAAGCGTAGGGAAAGCAGTGAGTGAAGGCAATAACTGTGGTTTATATTGGTACCCTTAACTTAAAAGCCAAACAACATAAACCTTTAAGCAGCGAGCGTTCAGAAGATTTTCTTTCCTTGTCAGAGTCGTCATTATTTTCCCATTCCATTGCCGTGCTCTCTGATAGGCTATTAAGTTAGACCATAGCAAATTAATATCTACAAAAGTTTCAGAGTTCACATTCCACATAATGATGGGAAAAAATTGTCTTATAATGCCACTAATAGCAACACACAAAATCGTCTGACTTCCTCCTCTCTGACTTACCCAGCAGTCTCTGCCATTTGTTTCTTCCATGCAAGATGCTCTTCGCCAAACTGCTCTTTTCGGTCTCTAACAAGCTCACGAACCACAAGCAGCACAATCCGTGAGTCACAAGGAAGAGGGAGACCCTTGCAAGCCGTTCTATATATACAAGCTGCCTCTGGAACTGAAGAACCTCTTCTCCACCTCCTGACCTTTTCAAACATATCTACCCCACAAAAATGCACAGGGAGTAGCACAACTCACACACAGGAACCCAATTTATTGATTGATTCCCATGATCTAAATCCTGTTTTTCCAAGTTCCAAAACCTCGAGGTGGCTTAAAAATCACAGTTTTTAACCACACAATAATTGTTAACAACATATTAAAAAGACTTCAGAATCCTCCCCACAATGCAATATATGCTTGATGGTATCCGAAGCCACCGAGAGGTCGAGGAAAATTAACAAGGACATGTTTCCCCTGTCTCTGTCCCGACAAAGGTTATCACAGGATGACCAAGCCTAAACCGGGCCTTAAACCTGATTGAAATGGATCTAGAAAACCAGTTTCCTCCAAAAGTGCCTGGATCTGGTCCATAACCACCTGCTCTTGAACCTTGCTCAGGAAAGGGAGATGAGCAACTGGCTGGTTCTGGTTCATGTGCAACGTCTACTCTAAGAAAAATATCTACAGCTAGAGAAAGGAGTTCCTGAGCTCAGATCAGAAGACAATGGTGTTGTGTCTTGGGAGTGCATTCAGAAAGGTGTCAACTGGAGGGCTGGGTTTGAGCAGAAGAAGTAGAAGCTGTGAGGAGGACTTGGGTCACATGTCAGGTCAAGAGGGGAGAGATCTTCTAGAAAGAGAAGAATCCTAAACCAGTTAGGAGGGGCGTGGTGATACCCTGGATCTGTTGTACTATTTGGGAAAACATCAGGAGTGGGATTGTCAAAAGGCTGGAAAACTGACAGAAAGTGCCACCAAAGTACCGTATTTTTCACTCCATAAGACACTGTGATGGCCTGGGATTCCGATTCGGAGGATGAAACAGAGGAATCCCAGCCTGCACAAGAGTCCCCGCCTCCAGGGCCGGCTGAACTGGGGCAAGGCCTAGATGCTGAAGAGCCTGCACCTGTGGCAGTGCATCAGGAGCTGGCCCCAGGTGAAGCCCTTCTGGCCCCAGAGAGGCTTGACGACTCAGTGGCCACAGGTGAGCCTCCTCCAGGGCCCAGTAACCCTTCGGCCTCTCCTGATCTGCAGAGGCTTAGAGCAGAGAGGCGAAGGGAACTGGTTGCCCCCAGGAGGAGTGCTCGCCTTAAGGCCAGAGGAGGCGGGGCTCCTGGGGGCCGGGACCGCCCCTGGCCTTAGAAGAGGATAAAAGCCCAGTCAGCCCGGCCCCAGGTTGCGGGAGCAACGTCGTTGTTGGCTTCGGACCTTCCTGTGTTCCTGTTCCCTGCTCAGCTTCCTGTTCCGGACTATCCGGTACTCCTGTTCCCTGCTCGGTCTCCTGTTCCCGACCATCCGGTGTTCCTGTTCCCTGCACAGCCTCCTGTTCCAGCGTTCCTGTTCCCCGCCCGGCTCTCCGCCTCGGACCTCGCCCCTCTTCATGTGGACTCTGCTACACCCAAGGTACCTTACCCCCGGGACCAGCACAGACACACTTTTTTCTACCTAAAAAGTAAGGGGAATATCTGTGCATCTTATGGAGCAAATGTGTGGTCCTTGGAGCTGAATTGCCCAGCGGCAAAAAGCAGATCATGCTTTTTTTGTGAAAGAGGGAAGTGGGTGTTGAAACAAAGCCGCTGATCGTTTGCCGATCGGGGAGAGAGATAAGGGACGCTAGAGATAAAGGAGGCTGCCTGGGAGGGGGGAGGTAAAGACTGCAAACTTGCAAAGGGGGAAAACAGGAAGACTAAAGCAATAAGGAAAGAAATTAGAAGAAAAGGAGGAGCAAAAAACTGCTCCAGCTAAGGAAAAGTCACTAAGGCAAACAAGAGGGAAGGGAGTGTTGAAAGGAAACAGCTGATTGGTGGGATCAGAAGAGAGATAAGGGACGCTAGCGGAGGCTGCCTGGGAGGGGGGAGGTAAAAGCCCATGGATCCTCTGGATTTTTGCATTGGGTCACCCCAAATTCACCATCAGATCACATAGCATGTCCATGGCTACAGCCTGCACCAAAAAAAATCACACATCCACTGTTTCCTGGGGCTGCAAAAATGTGGTTACAAAGCACAGATCCACATGGATCCTCAGGATTTTTGCATTGGGTCACCCCAAATTCACCATCAGATCACATGTCTGTGGCCACAGCATGAACCACAAAAATCATACATCCACTGTTACGTTCAAAATATTTTTTTTCCCTTGTTTTCCTCCTCTAAAAACTAGGTGCATCTTATGGAGCAAAAAATACGATAATAAGCTGTAACATCTATGCAACTAAGGAACTGAAGTGAAATAACTTGAAATAAGCTAAGCATTTACCAGCTAGTCTGGAAACCTGTAACATCTAACAGGGAGTGTTTCTTGAGGAGTGTTTTACCACTGCCTCCTTCAAGCAGGAAGGGACCACCAGCTCTCATAAAGAGGCATGAATCAGCTCCCTGGCCCAGCCAGCTGTCCCCTCTCTGGTGGTTTTTATCAGCCAAGAGGGACACATTCTCGAGTCTTAACAACTGAAACTCATCCAATATAACGGGACTAGACTGTGCTCTAGACATCCCTTGAGATTCATCTGCTGTAACAGCCGAGTCAAGAGCCCGGTGGATGCAAGCGATTCTGTCCTCAAAATGCTTTGCAAACAAGTCACAGTGAGCTACTGATGGTTTCCACCACCTCCTCTGGGCCAGACTGCAGAAGGCCCCACACTACCTGGAAAAGCTCTGCCAGACAACGTACTGAGGATGCAACGGAGGCAGCTGAGTATGCCTTCTTTCCGGCCTTCACTGCCACAAGGCAGACTCGATGGTGAGCCCTCAATTTGCATTTTTCTCCACTTACATTTGAGCCGCCTCCCAGCTTGTTTCCCCACCTTAAGTTCTGGAGTATACCAGGGAGGCAAACAGGCTCCACAAAGAAGGAGAAGGTGCTCACAAATGATTATGCCAATGGTCCAAGCCATTCAAATGTTTCAGAAGGTCCTGATAGACCTACATTGGCTCCCAATTCAGTGTTGGTGCTGACCTTTAAAGCCCTAAACGGCCTCGGTCCAGTATACCTGAAGGGGCGTCTCCACCCCCATCGATCTGCCCGGACGCTGAGGTCCAGCGGTGAGGGCCTTCTGGCGGTTCCCTCCCTGCGAGAAGTGAGGTTACAGGGAACCAGGCAGAGGGCCTTCTCAGTAGTGGCGCCCGCCCTGTGGAACGCCCTCCCTTCAGATGTCAAAGAAATAAACAACTACCCGACATTTAGAAGACATCTGAAAGCAACCCTGTTTAGGGAAGCTTTTAATGTTTGAAGTTTTATTCTGTTTTCAAAGTTCTGTTGAAAGCAGCCCAGAGTGGCTGGAGAAACCAAGCCAGATGGGTGGGTTATAAATATTATTATAATAATAATAATAATAATAATAATAATATAATAATATAGAAGTCGAACAGGGGCACCAGTCATATCAGCTAGAAAATCTCCCACACCCATCTGGAAACTCCACCAGCCTCCAAGGTTGGACCATCCTAACAGATCCCCATCCTCTGTAGAGGGGGAAAGGCAATGAAAGTTTAAATCTCAACAGGAAGTGATCTGGCCACAACAAGGAACTGATGTCAATACCCCCTGCTTTCGGATCACCCTCTTTCTGCCCTCGCCATGCGTTAGACATGGTGGAATAGCCACAAAAACAAACAGGACCTCAAAGAGCAAGAGTCCTCTAATACAGTGTTTTTCGACCACCGTTCCGCGGCACACTAGTGTGCCGCGAGATGTTGCCTGGTGTGCCGTGCGGAAAATCGAAAAATTCGAAAGATTTTTTTAAAAATAAAAATGTCAAATTTTCGCCCACTAGGCGGGTGCCGGACTGTGTCCACCCTATTTTCCATCCGTCCTGGGTGGGGATCAGATCGGATGGGATCGGATGAGAGCGGACATCCGATTCCCCATAGAGAGCAGCGGGGCTCTGACATCTCCCTCTCCGCACACAGTGCTGTCATCCGCCGGCTCATATTTCTGTTTACTTACTATTTCATAATAAAGTAATTATAAAATACTTTCTTTGTGTTTATTTGATTCCTATTCAAGAGAATTACTTTATATATAGTCAATATAGGCACAGAGTTAATTTTTTTAACATTTTCTAATGGTGGTGTGCCTCGTGATTTTTTTCATGAAACAAGTGTGCCTTTGCCCAAAAGAGGTTGAAAAACACTGCTCTAATAGCTTGTTCCTGAACCTCTCTGCTGGAAATAAAATAACTGTTCTGATGACTTGGACATTACTTAACTAACTGTTTGTTTTGTGAGCGGCCAGGCGTCAATATGTACATCCCTCCTGTAATATCGTCCCTCCCCTTCCTAAATCCTTAAGTGTGTCTCTTTGTCCATGCTATAGAATAATTGATGGTTTATAGGTTACATGCTCTCGTCAGATGAAAGAAACGTTTCAATAAACACACTCCTCTTAAGAACACTCGGAGAAATTCCACTGTCACAAGTTTTCAAAAGGCAAAACGAAAAACTCAAAAGCATGTTGTCAGGGGCTCAGGAGCAGAGGCACAGGAAAGGGAGGAAATAGAGAGCGAGGGGGAGGAATCTGAAGGAAATGTTAGCGATGACAGCGGCCCGAGGTCTCTGAGTCTTTCCAGTGAATCGGAAGATTCACAGGAAGGGGCGCCCATGGTCAGAGCAAGGGGGGCGCCCAGGGGGACACCCCAGGAAGAAGGGGCCAGAGGGGACTCGGAGAGCAGCAGTTGGAAATCAGGACCAGCTTCCCCACCAGAGCGCAGTAGGGGGGAGGAGTCCCAGGTATCGGGATCAGGCGGCTCGCCGCCAGCGGGAGGATATGAGTCAGGATTGGCCACACCTCCATCGGGGAGCGAGGAAACGGTCAAGAGGAAGGTTGAAGGCTGGGCGCGCGCGCCAAGTTCAAATGCACAGGAAGGCGGCACAGTAAGTAGCCTGGATAGGGAGCCAGGTCCTAAAGCCCGCCGAAAGAGGGAGAAGAGTCCGGGGGGTCGGCGTCAGAAGAGTCCAGAAAGGATGGGACCACGGGGGGCAGAGAGACCCAGAGGAGGAAGGAGAGACGGAAGAGGTGGAGTAAGGTTAGAGTCTTAAGTTGGTGTACAGGGGGTGGAGACTCAGACGGAGCTTCGCCGGTCTAGCTTCTAAGACGTAGAGCTGCGCGCTGCGGCTTGGAAATGGAAACTGTACTTCAATAAAGACTTTTGTACATTACTGCCGGCTAGCGTTGGTCCTCTGTGAGCTGGGACCTGGAGGCAGCTCTGACACATGTTATAACTTGTTAGAACATCAAGAATATTGGAAGCATACCGTAAAGCTGTTGTTGACATTTTTTGTGCTTGATTCAGCCACACTGGCATCCGACAAGTCAACTTCATCGAAGATTAAAGACTGTGAAAAGAACACAGAGGATGCGTTTCATTTTCTACATACACAGGAATGATACTTGCCCGTTATCTTTTCAGGGGGTTTTTAAAAGTAAAAGCCAGGGAATCAGTCAATGCTCGCTAGGCCTGCAAACCAGATGTTCCTGACCTAACATTTTCATCCCAGAAAGCAGAAATCAAACCCACTACTAATTTATTTTTTAAATGTGCTAGAAAAATACAAGGAACCTATGCAGGCAACACAACTAATTTTTACAAAAGCAGGGGGAGATACTTTTAAAACTGTTTTCATAATAGGCAAAGAGAAAGACCCAAATGCAGTTAGTATTATAGAGACGGCATATTGATTTCTACCAGAATGAATCTTTACCTTTGAATCCTTGGCATAGTAAAGGGTTCGGCCCCGAAGCTTAAAGTAACGTTTTTTCCATCGCTGAAAAGAGCTGGTTTGCTTCAGAAGTAATCCTTCCTTTATACTGGTCTTGAGGGGGGAAGAAAAAGAAAGGAAAACAAAATTACACATGTGCCAAAATTGTTACATATATTGCAAAATAATTATCTTATTTCTAAAAACTGAAACCTGGACCTAGTTCCAGGGTTGTTTACCTTTTACCAGTGCTTTTTTCTGAGGGGACGCAGCCGTACGCACCCCCCTAAACATTTTGTGAATCTAAGTTTGGCCTCATTGAGGGGCAGTCTTTCAATATGAGCAGAAATATAAGAGTACCCCTAAACATATATTTTTTTAAAGCACTGCCTTTTACTCATTGATCTGAATTAAAACCCTATCAGTATGACTTCATTAGAAAGACTGAATTCTACCCAATTACCACAAGGTGGCAGTATGGTTATATTAATTAAAAGTTCTCAAGGAGATCCAAAATGCTACAGTGATCACTGTAACCTAATGGCTTATTCCAAAACAGACGCTGCACAATAAAAAACAACAACAGCAGGCGTAGGTTCACAAGTGGTTGCATAAGCTGCACACTTACAGATAAATAAATCCACTTCTGCTCCATAACGGATAAATTTGTGAAGCCCACATGGAATTGGGCCCAGAAGAAAAGACGAAGAAATATGACAGAAAGTCTCCTCTTTCATCTTATCATGATCAAACCTAATCTTTGACCAAGGAAATGTTGGGAAACATGGTGTGATTCACTGGCTGTAATTTACACCGTTCCGTCAGAACATACTGACCATTATGCCAATTAAGTATGATATACCGTACTTTTCCGTGTATATCACGTCCCCATGTATAAGACGCCTCCTATTTTGGGGGAGTAAAAATTAATAAAATGGAGGGAGATTGCACAGAATTGTTGAGATTTCTTTGGGGGGGAGTTGCCCACCCAACTGCCACAGCAACATCCAATCAACACCACCCCTTGCTGCAGACACCAATAACATGCTGCACAGTATCGCTGGCTCGCGGCACCAATCCCACGTCCCACCAATCCCTCTGTCCCAGCTCCTGCCAACCTAGCAGTTCGAAAGCACACCAGCGCAAGCGGATAAATAGGTACCACTGCGGTGGGAAGGTAAACGGCATTTCCGTGCGCTCTGGTTTCCTTCACAGTGTCCTATTGCACCAGAAGCGGTTTAGACCTGCTGGCCACATGGCCCGGAAAGCTGTCTGTGGACAAACGCTGGCTCCCTCGGCCTGAAAGCGAGATGAGCGCCACAACCCCATAGTCACCTTTGACTGGACTTAACCGTCCAGGGATCCTTTACCTTTACCTTTTACTACCCATGTATAAGACGTCCCCCAATTTTAAACATAATTTTTCAGTAAAAAAACCCAAAACTAGTCTTATACATGGAAAAGTATGGTAACTCTCAAATAGGATGTGTTTCAAAACTGTGTGCAGCAGCACCCAAATTGATGCAAGATTTAACAACTCGCCTTTGAGTTTACCATTACAGTCGTACCTTGGTTTTCGAACAACTTAGTCCCTGAACGTTTTGGTTCCTGAATGCCGCAAACCCAAAAATGACTGTTCTGGTTTGTGAACTAATTCTGGAAGTCGAATGTCCGAGGGGACTTCCGATTGGCTGCAGGAGCTTCCTGCAGCCAATCAGAAGCTGTGCTTTGATTTTTGAACATTTTGGAAGTCGAACATTTTGGAAGTCGAAAGTCATTTCTTTGAGTATCTAAGCAAACCATTTGTTTTGTTTAATTCATAAAAGAAAACACAGCATAGTAACTATTTAAGGCTGAAACAAAAAAGACCACTGAGGCAACTTAGACAGTAACAAATTTGTTCTGGCCTAACCTTTCATGGACCACAATGCATCTCATCATTTACCTGGCAGGAAGCCCCATTCAGGTGGACTTACTTTCTCTGCGACCCACTGAAGCAAATGGAGCTTAACTTTCGCATTGATTTCAATGGGGCCTAAATGCAACTAGCTGGATCCAACTCATGATTTTTAAGCACCAAATATTACTTTGACATATCATTAATGTATTGGAAGCGATGACAAACCTAGACAGCATCTTAAAAAGCAGAGACATCACCTTGCCGACAAAGGTCCGTACAGTGGTGCCTCGCAAGACAAAATTAATTCGTTCCGCAAGTTTTTTCTTCTTGCGAGTTTTTCGTCTTGCGAAGCACGGTTTCCCATAGGAATGCATTGAAAATCAATTAATGCGTTTCTATGGAAACCAACTTCAGACCAGGTCCGGGGACAGTCTGTCCCCCGACCTCTTCTGAAGGCTGGGGGGGGGACCAAGGGCTTTTCTTCCCACCCCCAGCATTTTAAAAAAACCCCGGGACAGCGGGGGACTTCTCTGCTGTCCGAGGCGATCTTAAAATGCTGACGGGCGGGAGCGAAGCCTCCGCTGCTGCCCGCCAGCATTTTAAAAAGCCCCGGGACAGCGGGGGACTTCTCTGCTGTCCCTGGGCGATTTAAAAGCCCCCGGGAAGGCAGGCAGGGGGGACAAAGACTTTCACCCCCCGCCGGCCTTCAGAAGAGGTCCAGGACCTCTTTTGAAGGCGGGCGGGGTGCGAAAGTCTTTGCTCCCCCCCGCCTGCCTTCAAAAGCCGTCCAGGACAGCGGAGAAACGAAGGCTGGCGGCGGGAGGAGGTCTCTCCGCCCGCCGCCAGCCTTCGGAGGAGGTCCGAGGACAGTGGGGAAGACGCGCTGCGCTTCCCCGCTGTCCCGGAGATTTCCCTATGGGCTTTCGTCTTGCGAAGGAAGCCCATAGGGAAATTCGTTTTGCGAAGCGCCTCCAAAACGGAAAACCCTTTCGTCTAGCAGGTTTTCCGTCTTGCGAGGCGTTCGTCTTGCGGGGCACCACTGTATAGTTAAAGCTATGGTTTTTGCAATAGTGATGTATGGAAGTGAGAGCTGGACCATAAAGAAGCTGATAGCCGAAGAATTGATGCTTTTGAATTATGGTGCTGGAAGAGACTCTTGAGAGCCCCATGGACTGCAAGAAGATCAAACCTATCCATTCTGAAGGAAATCAGCCCTGAGTGCTCACTGGAAGGACAGATCCTGAAGCTGAGGCTCCAATACTTTGGCCACCTCATGAGAAGAGAAGACTCCCTGGAAAAGACCCTGATGTTGGGAAAGATGGAGGGCACAAGGAGAAGGGGACGACAGAGGACGAGATGGTTGGATAGTGTTCTTGAAGCTACCAGCATGAGTCTGACCAAACTGCGGGAGGCAGTGGGAGACAGGAGTGCCTGGCTTGCCCTGGTCCATGGGGTCACGAAGAGTTGGACACAACTGAATGACTAAACAACAACAATGTACTGAAAAGATGCAGAACTGGTGGCTTTCCTAGGACACACCTAGAAAGGACTAAAACTCACATTTAAAGTTGGGGAAATGTCAAAAGTATTCTGCGTCTCATGGCTGTGACACAGCACCATTTTCTGCTTTACTCTAGAGCTTTGTGGAAGCTGCCAGGATTATTATTATTATTATTATTATTATTATTATTATTATTGCCACAATGGCAGCACCACAGATGTGGCTCATCATTAGAAACATTCATCACATCGTTCCCTTTGACCACATGACATTTTTCACATGTGTCGGGAGCACAACATGATTTGTAGCCCATCCTGGTCGGCCCCTCCTCTCATTCTACCCCAACAAAAAGTTTCACAACAACTTCCATGAGGCTGAATAAAATGCACACTGGATCCAAAACAGTTGGAAGAATGTAAGGAGGATTTCACCTATGCCCCACAGACTTGGTGTAGCAGGATGATTCAGACTATGAGAGCTGATTCCAGCCTTAGCAATGAGAAAATAGTAATCTAATGTATCTCTCCAGAAGATCCCAAAGTCTCTGGGGTTCTCCATATCAGCTCCCATTCATGTTGCAACACAGAAGGCCCTTTTGAGGGGCAAAGACTCAGAGCACTCACTAAACAAAGCACACAGAATTCCCAAGACTTCTCAATGTAGCAAATAAAGAATATTTGCTGGAAAATGCAAAAAGAAACACATGGGAAAGGATACAAGATGGTTTTTCAGAAACAGATGGTTACAGAATATCACACAGGATGGAAATCAACCTTCACCTTTTAGTTTACTACAGTTAGCACTTACGTCAAATGGAGAGTATGTCTATGACAAACTAGTTTTACTTTTTAATTCTATGCATAGTTTAATGTTTTCATGTACACGGTAACATAGCAAGTTTTCCCAAAATACTCTTCAGCTTGAAATGTCAGTGAAATCCAAAGTGCCAACAGTTGCTTTTGATAATTGTTATATATTTGTGGGACCCCCCCAAAAAAAGAACCTAGGAATTAATAAATTGTAGGATTTTGATTATTTGGGATGTGAAGACAGAAATACCAGCTGCAGAGGAATTCCTGGGCTAGCCTGTGCAAAACAACCTGGCCTAGCTAGGGCCATTAAGAAACAATAGAGGGCAACTGAGGGCCATTGGCAACGCAAGAGAACTGTCCTCCCCCCCTTGCCCCCAGAGAGACTGGGGGTTCAGAAGGTTGCCAGCGTGAGAGGTGACAAGAAAAGGGAGTTTTGTAGCAGAGTGTTCTGGGCAGAAGGAGGAGGAAGAGAGACTGAGATCCATCTTGGGCAGGCTGGCTGAAGGCTGGCTGGGAGAGATGCCTCTGATTCTGTGGCTGCACTGCTGTGGGGGAACACATCCCTCTTGGAATGACCACACTGTAAGATCTGGACTCTCTCCATGAAGACGGAAGCTGCAAACAGGTGAATAAACTATTTTTGAAAGCTACGACAGACTCTGCTATGCCTCAGTTCTCCAAAGGAACACAGACCCAGGGTGAGTGCCAGGAATGCCTTGGGTCTTGCCACCGCTCTGCAGGGAGAGGCGGTGGATCCCGAATTGGATGTTTGTTCTAGAAGAGACTGACATTTTCAAATTCACCCTATAAAGCCACACCTCATCCTTTAAACAAATTAGCGCTGACACAGAACAGCGCAGTGCTGCACCAGACAAGGAAGCCTAGTGTTGTTGATCAGCAG